TAATATCCATCTTAGTTACAGTGTGCCAAATTTCTTTTTTTTTTTTTTTCTTTTGTTTTTAATCTGATATCTGCAATCAGCATCCCAAATATGCTCACATGATCTCCATTACAGTATGGACATGTAGTAGTAGTAGTAGTAGTAGTAGTAGTAGTAGTAGTAGTAGTAGTAGTAGTAGTAGTAGTAGTAGTGGTATTTTACCTTAGTAGGAGTGAGACTTTTGACACATATTTTCTGTAGCAGGCATAAACAGTGGTGCATAAGATCTAATGTAAGTGTAAATTCTGACAAAACAGCAGATCCTAAAAACAAAAGCTTAAATTTTCATCCATGTCCATTTACAGGATAGACTGTAAGTAGCATAGGAGGAAATATGTTATTTAGTATTTATTTATTTATTGTCATTGTCAAGAACAATGAAATTGCGTTTGGGGCTTCCATACAACCCAAAAAAAAAGAAGAAAATAATAAATACCCCTTAAAACCCAAGTGTACATATTTAACCCAGTGTGACTCCAATGCAATAAGACAATCCTTAGCAATAATGTTCGTAGAAATTCAGACAAAGAATTTGTCTGAAAGTTATGTGTGTTTATATTCATGATGAAATGTGCTCCTTGACCTGTATTGTTAAAAATGGAGATGGGGAGGGAAGCTGCGGGTGCTGTAAATCTCTGGGAAGAAGTAAATAATCGTCTTTATTACACTTGATTCTGCTTTATACGTGCTTCAGGTCTCAGGCATTTGATGGTTAAGGATAAATTCATAGGCTCACATTTTCTCACCCTGTCTAGAGGGAACATGAACGGCGCTGCAGTGAAATTGCAGCCTGATGCAGCCACATCGTTTTCTCCATATGAGCTGAGATCTAGTTTGAGTTGTATCAAAATATGTTATAAACTCACCAGCATGTTTCCTTGTTTTAAAACGGGGACAGTGGAGCTTGGGCAGTCCTGAAGTTCTGAATCTTTTCTTTTTGACATATTGTTTGGCATTCAGGCTGTTGCACCACCACCCCATCCTCTATCAACCTTTTCTTATCATTCTTGCTGCTCTCCATCTTCCTTTTCTTCACTTTAACATGTAGAACTCATCAATCGCCTGGCAACAGAGGTCCTTATCACCTGTTTCCTCTCACTGTGACACCTGGTTAGAGACTGAGGTCATCAGCACACATCCATCCATTTTCCCTTGATGTAGCTCGCTTTGCTCATTTTAGTTTTTTGAGGCCGTGTTTTTGGGGGTTTGTTTTTTCAGTATCCAGCCTCTATTTCCTTTTTATCCTTCAGCCATTTTTATCAGCCCAACATATTCATTACACCCTCCCCTGCTCAAGGGACCTATTTTGAGCCTTCGATAATATGCATATTTCTTTATTCGCCTTCACTAAGTGTCATTTAATTCCTTTACTTCCCTCTCTTACAGTAGATTTAGAGGGAATCACTTATGAGGAAATGTATCTATAGCCATCTATTTCCACTTAATGCTGCAGACCGAAGAACAGTAAATAATATTTTCCTCAATGGATTTATTGCTATTGAAGATTCAAATGAGCAGACTTCAGATCACAGATAATACATGCTACTATTATTTTCTGGTGGTGGGCCCTATCACAGTGATTTATTTGCATTGCTGTAAACTGTGACTCATCGTATATGGAGCCCCCAAAGTGCTCAGCATTAAATAAATAAATATGAATGGCTGTAATTAAGCAATAATTTGCAAATTTATTCAGGAGATAATTAAAACTCAACTCATTACTATATAATACATTTTATTTATTTTCATAATTTAACATAAAATTACAGGACTTAATTTGTTTTCATAATGGCATTTTTTCCCCATAACCATTTTTTAATTTATTATGTTTCTGTTTTCTTTTTTACTGTTTATTCAAAGCAACTTGGTTAATTCCGAATTGGTTAAGAGACGGGGGAATTTAATTGCCTGGAAAGTATAAGAGGGTAAGAGAGAGGCGGGGAAGCAGCAAGTCGTGAAAAGACATTTGACATTTGGATGCAAGTGAGTGCAAGTTATGCGTCGATGTAGTTTTACTGGAAGCGTTGGTGAATCAGAGGCTGAAATTTCCCGATTACAAATCAGGATTCAATAAACATGAGTTGGACCCAAAGGTACTGTAAGAACGACACAGTGCAGTTACATGAAGACTGCAGCGACAGTGAAAGTTAGTTGCATCATGTTTCATGTCAGGAGGAGCTGAAATATCCCAGCAAACTGTCAGTTTTAATTCCGTGATCATGTCATGTGGGATGGATGACTTGTCTGTTCACATCATTAAGTATGCTGTGTGAAACGTGGACCTCAGAGGTGGCAATGAGAGAAGTGAGATATTAAGGGTTGACACTACAGTGACATGTCTGTTTAATGTGCATTTAATTAAATCAAAGCGTGGTATTTGAAGCGAGACATCTCCGTTTTATATTTTAAATTGCCAAGGTAGATGCAAAAGGGTTTTTTGTTTTACATTATTACCCGTCAGGGGCAGGCGATATCGCCTCAAAAATGTATCACGATTATATTGTGAGAGGAAATCTGTGATAATGTTCATGATATTGAAATAAGGTGACTGCAGCTTGCAGGCAGTGGCATTTATTAGTGGAAAAAAGTGAATGTCATTTTCCAGCCTTCTTTTTTTTTAATGAGCAACAGCAAACAGCTCGTTTGAAGTGCAACTGTATTGCCAGCAGGTGCCAGCAGTAGCATTATAGTCCAATAGTGATACAGAACGGTAACCTAGGAAGTGTTTCCTTAATAAACCTGCTCAGCTTTTTACTTTAATTGTTGTTATACTAGCTTAACCTTGTAACTCTTCAGGAGCCTGCATAGAATAGTAAAATTGAAACAGAAGTATTTTCTGCGTGGGATCTTGTGTTGAGCTCTTTAACTAGTTGCTTAAAGCCATTCTTTTCCACCGTAACCGCATCAGTCCCCGCTGTTTGTTCTTTTTGTTATTTGGATTGCTACTAGCGAGTGCTCCAGCAACTGCCTGTTGAGTCACCAGCTGCTCGTATCTCCTCCTCACATGCCTCAATAGGCTGGTTGTAGTCAGTGCTGTGTTTTTGCCTTAAGTGGTGGAACGGGTTTATTTCCATCTTTACCAGGAAGAGTTTCCTTATATATTTTGTAAAATATGGGGCTTAGTTGGAGGTCTGACCTCTTGTAGCCACCTCACTTGCATATTATTGAAGCAGCTCCTTTTTTTTTTTTAGGCCTTAAATTGTCATCAGAGGCTGGCACACTGCTCTCAGACATGTTTTTTTTTTTAAATACTGCTATCATTGTGGACAGCATGGCACAGCCCTATGAGGCATCTGATGAATCTGATAGTCCCCAAATTAAGTCTGCATCATGACTACTACCCCAGCTATAAAGGACTGTCTTCAGCAGCAAGAAGAACAAAGTGACCTCCAGCAAATGGTTTAAAGATGACGAAGACATTTTGGGTTTTCATCAAAAATCAGAAGCAGTTAAGACGATAACTCAACAGCTTTTAATACCTGCTGCCTTTAGAACAAGCCTATTATATAAGTCAGAAGCAAATATTTTGATTGCCTTGCCATGTCATAAAATAGTAGTTGTCATAGAAGTAGTACATAGTAATTAACCTGTAATTAAAAGGAAACGACTGACACATTACACATTCATGTGGTTAACAATAGACTGATTTTAAAAGCACAACATGCTACCAGATTGTCACTTTAACTTTGTTTGCAAGAAAGATAAACAATAGTGTTTAAGGAGTAGATGAAAGATGCCTGCAGGATGTTACACGTCAGATGAACTGTATTGCTTTGTCGGTGTTTGATTTTAGTAGAAGCAGATTAATCAGCAGAAACAGTAACTGTTACATCATCTTTTGAAGAGCCTTACTTTGACATGTCTGTGACATGATCACAGTTCTGAAAAATCTGTCACTGAAAATTTATTAGTCGAGTTTTAATACTTTCTTTAGTAATTTCATGGTTCATTATATATTTTACACAGTTTGGTTATTAAATGTCGTTTAATTTCTTTTTAATTTGTTGGATATCGAACACTGTGGGGATCCACACTCCTCCTGTCTGCTCTGCTGAACCCTCCCACTGTGCTGACTGATAGGACCGCATCTGCATATCTACAAATAAACTAAGGAAAAACATTAAATTCTCCCAGAAATTAGTTTGCTGTAAGATGTCTCAGATTCATTATTTTGCTGGTTAATTTATGTATTTCCTGATTCCGCTGGTGACCAACATGTCTGGCAATCAGTAAATGTCACCGTCTGTAAAACAGTTTTAACTAGTGTCACTTTTTTTAAACATACAGTATCTCGAGCATCACATTTTGCATATAACCTTTTGTGACAGATTTGCGAGCAGCGCTCTTGCATGTGCATGCACAAATGCAAAAGCTTCACTCACCCCGCGGCATAATTGTAAACTCCAGATCCTCTGCAGATGATGTTGACACATTGGACGATGTGGTGAGGAGCATCATTTCCATTTTATAAAGTTCCATATTGAGACTAGTATGCACAAAAAAGCGCAGTGTTTGCCTTTGTTTCAGTATGAGAGTAGATGTGTCCATGTTTCCCAGCCCCAGTGTGAATCAGCATTGTAAATAAAGCTGCTCTGATATGTAGACCCACTTGCATTATCTGTAAGTTCATCATTCAAACAACAGGGGTGACAGAGAAAGAATGACTCAGTAAAAACTTCTTGAAATATGCATGTGGTTTGCAAGATTATTTATTCATGCATGGCTGTGTATTCCATTATGTGTAGGCTGCTTGTGTGTCACTGTTGTTGACAGAGAATCACTCAGGGAATAAGTACGCAATGTGAATGCAACTTAAAAGATTTAGTATGGGCTGAGGTGATATCTGACCAAAGGTTGGTTATTCAGTGCAACTCTGTTTATTGTTACTGTGTAGGTGTTACCTTTTCCCTTTGGAAGGAAACTACTGTTTGAGCTCATTCATATTTCTCTCCTGCCTCCAGATTTTGACCCTAGCCTTGGTATGATGGCTGGAATTACCCCCATGAACCCAATGATGCCCGGCCTCGGTATGGTACCTGCAGCTCTCTCCCAAGACGTACCGGTTGTCAAGGAGATCATCCACTGCAAAAGCTGCACCTTGTTCCCCCCCAACCCCAGTAAGTCATAGTATTATGCTAATCCTACACCGGCTCTTTTCTTCTAATACAGCTAAAAAGACCACATTTCTTTGGCAGACATCGGCTTGTGTTAGAGCTTGAGATGCAGCACCTTAATTAAAAATACCTCAAAGAAGGGTCAGGTTTTGAAATGCATTATTTTTTAATTTGGTTTAATTAATAATCTTGTTAATAATTTCCCAGTGTCCTGGACAGCATCTTCAGCTAAACTGATTGGAACATTAGTTCAGATTGAGCATAGATGGCTACAAAGTTGAGACCAAACAGCTGATCTCATCAGCTGGTTTCAATTCCAGCTGACATCAGCTGACCACTGATCATGTTGGTAAAATCTTAAGTAAGCCCTTTTATTTACATTGCTTTAGCCTGCTGACAGTTGTCGTGCAAGCCACTTTGCAACCCACATCAAGCTCCAGTCTGTTCTGTTTGTGATTCTACTTTCGTGCTTCAATGTCCTTATGCTTTCGATCCATGTGCAGAACTGTAGGGAAGTCCCACAACATCTACGCCAAAATTATTTTTTCACTTTACTGCAGATGCAAAAGAAATGAAAAAAAGAAAAAAGAAAAAAATTGAGTTGTTTCTTGAAGATTTGATCATATTTATCAGTTTAGGTGATTTATTGCTTTGCAGGATTTCTACCCATACGGTTTTGTTAAAATGTTGCTTAGACTTAGTATTACACTGTCATAAACAATGTCAGTACAAGAGAAGATACACCTGTTCACTTTAAGCTGCATTTACATTCTGACAAACACAGTGGAAATTCTCAGGGCAAAAATCTCACTTTGTATAATCTGATGGTATGTGTGTTTCCCAGAGTGGCGTTTATATTTATCTCACCGCCACCTTCCAATTATTCCGAGTTAGGAACCAAAATAGTGGGGGGGTACTTTGATTGATCCCACCTCTGCTTTACGGATTTCCTGCTGCATAAAGCTCTCTGCCTGGGGACTTTTTTCAAACAAGTGCTACATGTCATCTTCAAGGTGAACTGAAAGAAAAGCTCCTTACCACATTAGCATTCACTAGTTTACAATCCTTTTGCAAAACAAAACACACTCCTGAATTTTATTAGGCAAATATTGTTTTTCACGGCGCACATAAAGCTGTTTTAAGATATTCTTGTGCATCTGCTGTATGCATTTTGGCTCAGTATATGTGACAAAATAGAGCAGAGAGAAAAGCAGATTAAAAGTTTAACTTCACCTTGGATCATATTTCGAGCTAGTTGTCAGGAGCAAGTACAGAAATGAACCAGGTACTTTGTTCAGGGGCACCTACAAACCCTGAGGCTAAATGAGGGATCAGCTTGTCAAGAAATTACCCAACAACTTTATAGCCTGTCACAGTCACTCACAGTCACAAGCGCGAGTGAAAACTTTTTGTGGAAAATGATCTCTTCCCAAAACCTTTTCAATCCTTGGTGGCACATGGACATGAGGCTTAATTGGTAACCTTTTTCATCCTCCTTGTTACTTTCTACTTCCCTGCCTTTCTACTCTGCTCCACTTACTCTTCTCTCGCTTTTTTGCTCCCCAGCTCTACTTATGATCTTTTTGCGTGTCACTTATTCCAGTGTCACAAAAAAGCAGTCCATCTATAAGCCAGGTATTTTAAAATAGGCAGACAATTGAGAAGCTGTCTAGCTTGATTCTTCTCATGAAAGCTAAGTAGCTCTGTAGGAGGTCTACAGGAATGGCTAATGCCCAGTGAGAATTGGCGCCTTATCAAATGGGTTGATTTTGTGTTTCTGTGGCTCTGAGAGTTCTGGTGTCAATCTCAGGTGTATCTGTCAGGGTCGCATTTTCCAGCTAAGGGAACTGACTAAAACCAGTTCAGGTATTTGGCAAGGTTGTGGTATGTCGCCAGTTTATTTACAATATCTCATCTACAGTTTGACTCATTCTATTTCCATCCCGAAAACTGTTAATTGAGAAATAATATTAAAAATATGTTGCTGAGCCTTAAGGTAATGACTATCAGGCCAAACCCCAAAGGAGTTTTGCACTTAACAGACCATTACAGGACCTTTTGAAGGTGTCTTGAGGAATTGGACAACACATCTTTATGGAGCGAGGCAAGGCCAGCATATCTAACAGACTGCAAACGTAACGCTGTTCTTTGTCTTGTTTCTTCTTTGGGAGGTTTTGCTATGTAAATTACCCTTCTACCAGATGTGGTGTGAACATCTGGCGATCACTATAATGTAAAAGATGGATGATAAGTCAAACCTGGTCTCTTCCTGCTGTTGTTCTGTGGTCTTAAGTGTAATGCTCACATTTCTTGTAGGAGCTTTAAGGCATGGGCAGTGATCACCTTTACACAGTAAACTGCAGTGGACTCTGTTCTGACACATCTTACACTTACACTACTTCTGTGTATGTGATTGGACCACACGGGCCAGCCATCACTCCACATCACCCGTTGTCCTTCATTTGATAACCTTTCTGAAGCTACTAACTTCGACCTGTCATTTTGGAGTTGCTCTGAGCAGTCGTCTAGCCATCGCAATTTGGCCTTTTGTCAGAGTTGCCTGAACTCTTACACATACCCATTTTCTCCTGTCTCCAACACAAACTTGAAATCCTGTCTGTTTGCTTGCTGCTTATTACATTCCAAGCCTGAAAGGTATCATTGTTACAGGATCAGTGTTATTAATTTCACGTCTTTATATGTGGTGTCATTGACGATTATCTCACCTCGACTGAAAAATTCAGTCAGCTAAAGGACAGGGCTGGGCGTGGCATGTGGGGATATATCTGGAGACCTCTGAAGCTAAAAAGAGTCTGACGTGCAGAAAACGGTAGAAAACCGCTTTAAGTCAATACTGTCAGATAGTTAAATGCACAGTTGCACCGGATACTGTATCAGCTTTTATTTAACAGGCAAGAAAGTTTACCCAGTCTTTCATATCAAAAAGTGGTGTTTTATTTTTGAGAATAGGATCTTGTCAGCATCTGTCTCGCTAAGGCTGTGTTGTCTTCCCAGTATGACAGAACTGACGGGTGAGTGAGAGGAGAACATTTTGATAGCACTGAATCATTATTTCATACTGCATGCTGTCAAAAGTGCTTTGAGATGCAAAATAGTGGTGGCCGGGACAAATCGTTGGGAGATGAAGTTATTTGAAGTCTTTGTCATGTGTTTACCCAGAGAACATATAATACAGTTGGATTATACTTCACCATTGAGCCAGTATAAAGCTTGCTGTTAATGGAATGTGCATGAATCACTGTTACAGTAACTAAGGACTGCTGCTTGGAACCATATTGGAGCCATATTAATGTTGCTCACGGTTTGAACTGTAACAGCGAAGCAAACACTGGCATTAGCTGCATTGAGGCGTTAAGCAAATATCACAGGAAAGTACTCGCTTCTTGGCAACAAGGTTGCATATGGTGTCCATCACAAGTAGTCATTACCCTCTAGCTGCACACACTCAACCTGACACCGCATGCAGCATCCTCGCTCACTGACCTTTTAGCTGAGCAACAACAACCCTTTCAGCCCTCCCCCAGCTCTTGTGCGTTCTCGCTCTTCTGTCTTCTCAGTGTGCATAACCTTACAATCAGCGTACATCCTCATCAAGCCCTTCTTCTCAATGCGTCCCCCCTCTTGACTTCAGTCAAACCCTCTCAATTCAGCATTGATCACTGGTTCACCTTCTCTACTGCCTCTTTTGCCTGGTCGACTATATAATGCTTCGGTGGTATTGTAAATGGTTTGCAAAGGCTTTGCTCCCAGTATTTGGACCTATGGACCCACTTCAAAGCTTGATAACTGTTTTTCTTATCCAACCCTCTGAGGATGTTGTTAGAGAAGAGTTTGTATAGCTATCTTTAAAGAGATTTTAGTATTCTTGCAGTGTGTACCAGTTCGACATATGAACACATACAGTATAAAATATTTAGGAAGGATGCTCAGAAATGTTTGGTTGGTTTGTTTGGTTTTTTTTTTCCCAGTTTCTTGTCTCATTATTGATTTTGATGCATTTCGCGCAAGCGTTGCGCGCCATAAGCAGGGCCCCATTGTACATGCCAGTGCTTCATGTGTTTGCAACAACCAGTTATTCAGACAGTAGTAAGCAAACCGATTAAACCAAACAAAAGCAAACAGACACTGATGTGCAGATCGCAGTGTGTGCAGTTGTGAGACAGTTGTGCCATTTTTCACCGTAATTCTTCGTGCACATGGCTTAGTTTACCCCTGACAAGAATCAGCTAAACATAGGTACTTGAATGTGTGTAGATTGTAGTTTGTCTTTTGTGGTGGGGCGTGGTCTGCGGGGCCGTGCGGACGCACTTGCACAGCATCCGCAATCACGTCCGCCGTGTTAAAACACGGGACTCAGGGGTTGGTGGAGTGTTTTGTGGTGCGGTTCATGTGCGGCTGGCAGCCTGTGAGCTGCAGCCTCAGCAAATAAAGACGGCTCAAAATGACGATCTGCGGTCCCGCCGTGCCTTATTCACACCACAGTCTTGTAAACTGTTGGCCTTTGAGGGACAAAGCTTCCTCTCTGTGGCATCTTCTCAGACCATGAAAGGGTGTCTGGTCAGTCGAGCTGATGGATTACAATAACCTGTGACAGTGTAGCAAACCACTGGGTGGTCATATGAAGAGCAGGCCATTGGGACAGGGCTGAACTAAAAATTAGCCAGTCTGTTTGCTTTACAGCCACATTCATGAAACTGTATGTGCAGAATAATTCGGTCTAATACAAGAGAAAATCACAGGGTCATTTTTGAGCCACTGGTTTGTCCTTTATTATATTATTAGTACTTTCTAACCTGCTAAAATTCTGTTTTGTCTCTTCCATTTAGCCGTCTGCTCAATTTTCTGTTTCTCCTGCTTTCCTTTGTGTGCACTGTCGAAAACACAGAATGTTTTTTAGTCATTTGTGTTGTATGATTTCCCAAATGATTTCCACAAAAGATCCTGCAAAAGCTGCTCCATCCATCCTCTTCCTATGCTTCCTTAGCCTCAGGTTCACTGGCTCATTATATTTGCATAAAATGCAATCACATGCACTGTGCTTTGATATCCTCTGATATCGTGTATTTACTGTAATCTGGAAGTCACAAATAGCTCATCTAGAGAGTTGTTTCTAATTCGTTTGCATAAAATGTTCGATTGTGATAAACAGTGCGATTCAGTAGCACAGCAGGCAGCCGAGGGGATTGCAAAATGATTTCACTCCTGCTAAGTTTTAAAAGATACACAGAAATTCACAGATTTAGGCCAAAAAAACCCCCAAGACTTTCCATTGTATTCTTTTTAGATAACTTACAGCATGTCACATTAGGTTATTTCTGCACTGCACCTGTTCTCCCTTCTCTGTCCTCCTTGCTCCATCGGCCGCTCGTGGACCGAAAAGGTCAGTTAATTTGGAAGTCTTTGTTGCATCTGCCAACAAAGCGTTTCTGTGCTATCGCAGCTTTTTCTGCTCTGCCTTTACTTTTTCTGTCCATCTCAACTGAAAAACTAGTCTAATCCGCCAACTCTAGAGGTCAAGGAATGAAACAGACGATGTTTGCTTTAACGGTCGCATTTAAAGAAAAGGAGAGGCAGAGGGAGGGATGGGTTGTTGGAGCCTGTGTGTAAAGGTAGAAGAGATACAGGGGGAAAAATTAAAAGAAAGAGATGGTGCTGGCTCCGGCTCAGAGACATAAAGTTTGCTTGCAGCTCTTAACAGTGCTGCATGCAAGTACAAGGAGTTCTGACAGCAGGGGATTATGAGCTGATAAAGCTTTTTAGCCAAAAGAAAACTCTGACTTTGGATCGTTATGTTTTCACAACTAAACTTCCTTCCCCTAACTTTTTTCTTTGTGTGTTACATGATGCTGTAGTATATTGTTGTGCTTATAATAACTAAATAATGTAACAGTTAGCAATATATTGTTTATTATTGCCAAACCAAGGCTTGGCTTTAAACTGTCCAAGTGCATAGCCGGTTGGCTTTTTATTAGATATTATGAACCAGTTGTTTCACCTTTGTTCCTTATGATCATGCTGTGCATCTGCTAGGTCAGTCAGTAATTACTTGTTGTTAATAGTAAGCAATGAAATTTTACATGATTACATGTTCAGTATGCTTTGTTTAGTATAGACTTTCTAAGGTAGTAGTATCTCGCGAATAGTCAGGCTCCCCAAATAGCATGTGGTTAATTATTTAAAATAAATATGGTAAGATGTTAACTTTTACAAAACCTCCAAGTGTTAATAGTCTCCAAGTAGCTCAGAATTAAAGCTTCCTACTGTCTGGTATAAAGTTGCCTCTCCAGAACCAAGTAATAATAAAATCCTTTAACTTCTGCAGTTAACAAGTTCTATTTGTAACACCGTAAACACATTAAAATGATACAGGGTTTATTCCAGTTAAACAAGAAGTCATTACACGTAGAACGATCCCATTTCATACTCGTCCACTTCAGAGATTTTCTGAAAAGCAGTTGAAAGAGGCTGCAATTGTTCAAGGCTACGAAACAATCATTGTTTTCAGCCGACGGAGCTTTTTGTTGTGCAGGATTATCTATGTGCACAGCCAATCCAGATGTTTAATGCCCACTGAGTTCCTGTTATCAGTTCTCGTGAGTCTCATAGGAATGATCTTTAACAGGCTAATCTCCCTACAAACCTGCCTGCAGAGATTAGTAGGCAGTTATCATTCACTGTAATCAGCGATTGAACAGAAAACAACACAGAGCATTGAGAAAACCTCAGGTAAATATGTTAACCTTGAAACTTAACCCAAAAAGTCATTTTGGTGTCTAAACGTAACCAAATAACATGTTTAAATGTTTGAGGCTGCAGAACGAAGAATGCCTGTTCTTGTGGTACAGCACAAAGTAAGAGCATATATAGAACAACATATATAAGAACATAACTTATTAATGACGACTTTATTCCTTATTGTTAAGTAGGAGGCTATTGATCGAGAATAAGGCATTAGTGTTTCATAGTAGCTAATAATGATCCTAAACTGTTACCAAAACCGAAACTGCATCAGGAGTCCACTACCAGTCTAGTTTGTTGTTGAGCATGAGATGAGCCACCCTGCTGAGAACACAGCAGCTCGTGCCGTCCTCTCCGTCATTCTTTTATCAAATCCTGTGCTGCATTGAATCCAGAGCTTTCATTAAAGTTTGAGTTCTTGCTTTACAAGCATCAGTGGAAGACTGTTTGGTTGTTGAATGACAAAACAAAATATAAAGAAACATGAACCATGTGTAACGTGAATCTGAAATTGTATTCACCAGTGCATATATGAGAATAATGAGAATATGAGGGGAGTTTTTTTCTGACTGCACTCTAGATGTGTGCACTTGTATCAACAGATGAATCCTTTAAAGACTGATCCAGAAGGCAGAATAGGAAACTCAGGGTGCTGCTAGACTCTTTCTTAACAGCTGTTACTAGGAAAAAATACTTTTTTGTTTTTCGTTTCATGCCACTACTGAAATCTACTACTAAAAACACCTATATCCTGACCAATCTTCCTCCTATATCTCAGGTATCCAACCAGGTTCAGCCCCATTGCAGAGATTTCCTAGTAGACGTCTAGAAATACAGCATCCTCTGCACTACACTGATTAGCTGGTTCACTTCTCGTAGACCACGCTAATCATATTCATCATGGATGAGAAGCCGTAGCTATTGGAGATTAAATCAGTCAACATTCATCTGTGATGAATAAGTGATTTCTGCAGTGCCAGGGACCCTTCACATTAAAAGATCTGTCACTTTGGGGCCAACAGAATTTCATTTTCATGGATGGGAGGGTTTGATTTTTCAGTTTCTCTTACAAAAAAAACTCTTGCTTAAAGAGGTCATTATTCATTAATGATATGATTAAGCTTCATAATTTTTTTAGGTCATGAGTGCTCTATTCTAGAATGACTTCACTGAAAATGCACAGCATCACCCTGAGAATTTGGTTTTTGCTTGTATTATATACAGATGCCATCTTGCTCTTTTAATGTTGCTGTGATCTGGCCCTCATTATTCTCAGTCTGAATGTAGAGGCTTTTTCTAAAATGGATTTTTCATTAATGCCCTGCTATTACGCTGCATTTGCTTTTGTCAGTCTTGCTTATTTGGTGATGGGATCCTTTATTATGCTATAATTATTTATTAAAATTTTGCATTTCTCATAGCACCAATGGTCTTCTCTTCTCTTTATTTTAATGGATATTTTTATTGTACATGATAATCCAGGTTTTATTTTTATGGTTGGCTGCAGTTCTGCTTTATTTTCATCTATAGTTTTGACTTGTCTCCATGTTTAATACACAGATGTCTTAAAAAAGACAAAATAAACACCTATTCGATTAAATGTTATTATTACAAAGTGATGAAAGGTTTTTTAATCATTTACCCTCATTTTTCAGGCAGTGCTGTTGATAATAGTTCTGTTTGTTACTTTGTTTTTGTTTTGTTTTTTTCTTGCAATGAATTTTAAAGAAAACCACTTTTCTCTGGCAAAGTCCAATCAGTGGTTACCGCTGCTTGTATTGTTTTCATCTTCACAAGGAGCAAAATTCATGCTCAAAATAAAGTGTTTTACCTGAATTGTTCTCGGGTTGCCTGTGTTTAAGTTCACACAGCAGTGATTGAGAAACATTGCAGAGGACTTTTTTGAACTGCAAACATTAAGAAATGCTGTCGACTAATTAGAGTTGTTAGTTTTTCCAGCCTCGTATTTATATTTCAACTTGATGATGTCTTACACATGGCTGTTCTTTGTCACAGACCTGCCCCCTCCGGCAACCAGAGACCGCCCTCCGGGATGTAAGACTGTGTTTGTCGGTGGTCTGCCAGAAAATGCCACAGAGCAGCTCATCATGGAGGTCTTTGGACAGTGTGGCGATATCACAGCCATACGCAAAAGCAAGAAGAACTTTTGCCATATCAGATTTGCGGAGGAGCCAACTGTGGACAAGGCGCTCTTCCTGTCAGGTAAGAGGTCGCAAATCTAAAGCCTTAATTTTATTTATTGTTTAAGGCCTTACTGATGAAACGCAGTGGTGTGAATTTCTGTAGTTCAAGTACCACTTAAAGAATCACAAAGTGAGCTTGTGGATGTCCTGCTGCCATCCGTGTTTTCATTGAGCACTTCAGTGCTTTGGTAAAATGCCTACCAAAAACAAACAAAACAACTGTCAGAAAATATCAAGACCTTTGCTAAAACAACTCGCTGTGTAAACCTTGCTGGTACCATGTTTGACCCTCTTTCTGATATGAGAACTGCCTTATTCTGCTGGAGACATTCATAAGAGAGTCTGCTCCATGTTAACATAGCATGACGATAACGTAATAGCATCACACAGTTGCTGCAGATTTTTTCAGTTGCACCACAACCCGAAGGTGCTTTCCTGGATTGCGATGGGGTGACTGTGGAGGCCTTTTTAGTACAGTGATCTAATTTCCATGTTAAGGACACCAGTTTGTGATGGTTTGAGCTTTGTGACGTGGCATGTTACCTTACTCAAAGTAGCCATCAGAAGATGGGTACAGTGTGGTTATAAAGGGATGGACATGGTCAGCAGCAGCACTCAGGCTGCGGTGTTGAAACAATGGATTGCCAGAAAACATCCCTCCAACTAGTGCTGGGCGATATGACGATATGTATCGTGTGGACGAGAGAAAAGTGTCTTCTATCGTTTCTAACCCAAATTTTATAAATTATTACATAAAATATATAGTTAACCCTTTACAACCGGTCGGAGCAGGCAAACTCCGTTTTACCTAACTATTTTTAAATCCCTGTAGAACTGGAACCACGTAAGGTAGCGAAAAAAAAATTTTTTGCATGTGAAACCGGAGTCGTACTTACATCTAATGCCATCAGCTTGCCCTAGGTCACGATTTCCTTCCACATATAGCTTTGCAAACATTGCATAAGAAGCACTTGCAGCAACAAAAGCATAATATTCCAGAAACACGCTTTGCTGATGTTCATAACACTTCCTACATTGGCATATACGTCAGCACGAACTATCGCACATCCGCCATTACCTGCCCGAAACCGGAAGTGACGTCATTTCCGCGAAAGGGCCTTATAAGCCTATGTTGGTGTTTTTAAAAGTCATGTTTGATTTTATGCTTTTTTGTATCGTTTCTGGGATGCTTAGAAATTATAATTATAATATTTATTTTCATTTTTCCTGTAGTATATAAAAATTAGTGTATCTCAGAAATAAAACTATGAAGACACTCAAAATAAATTTCTCGTGGTTGGAAACTATTTTGTGCAACTTTTTTGTATTTACAGTTTTGAGGGATAAGCCTCTTAAATTTTTCTTACTAGAAATATATGTAAAAACAAAAAAACAAAAACGATTTTAAATTTTTTGTAGTTTATTGCACTACAAATTTTTGCAATTTATATAGTTACTATGGACTTAATGCATACATATTTTTAATATTTGGGCTATAACGGTTGTATTGATGTATGGAAACTTGAAATGCTCCCACAAATGGCACTACAGCATGTAAAAACATAAAGATAAGCTCTGGCGGACTTGGTTCTATGGTAGGTCTTAAAGGGTTAAGTAGCCTGTGGCAAATATATTAGTGTTGTCTTCTCACTATACATGCTCTTAACTTTATGCAAGAGAAGATAAAGTATAAAAAAAATGATAATTTTTGCAAAGAAATTCCGTCTTGTGGTTTGCGACCTGGTGCTGCTGTACGTGCACCCGGATTTGCGACATACTTTACGGTAACTCACAACAAAGACTGCACCCTCGGCACTTGCTGTTTACAGACTGCGTACTTTCTAGATGACCACAGGTCAGGTGGTATATCATGATATATATCGTTATCGTGATATAAAATAATTCATATCGTGATAAATATTTTTTCCATATCGCCCAGCACTACCTCACACCACTACAACACCGCCAGTCTGATACAAGGCAGGATAGATGATGTTTACACCAAATTCTGACCCTACTGTTGCCGCAGTAATCGAGAGTCACCAGTCCAGGCAGAGTTTTTTCCAGTCCTCCATTGTCCAATTGTGGTGAGTCTGTGTGAATTTTAGCTTTATATTGCTGTTCTTAGCTGACAGGAGTGGCACCTGCTGCAGTCTTCTGCTGCTGTAGCCCATCTGCTTCAAGGCTCAGTGTGTTGTGCGTTTAGAGATGCTCTTCTACGTACTTTGTTTATATCAAGTGGTTAAATATTCAAAATCCCACAAACAAAGACCTTTTGGATATTTTTTTCTTTCTCTGTAAAATCTAGAGATGGTGGTACAGGGAAATCCCAGTAGATCAGTGCATTTGTAATTCACCTTCAGCACCCAAGGTTAAACTTTGTGGCTATACCACAAAGAAGAGCATTCAATTATTAAAAATGTTTTCGTATTTCTTTATTAGACTGAGCACCATCAGAAATCAAAAACTGGCTAGTCTCTATTAAGTCACTTAAGGAAAGAGATCTACGCGGAGTTTTCTACTACAGGTGCCAAAAAAATCCATTTACCATGAAGGCAAAAAACCTCTACTAACCATGTATCACTGGCTTATAGGCTCCTATATTACCACAGTAGCTTCTGGACTACAGACATCTTAAATCTCTCAGAGCAAACACATTGTCCTGTGTTCCTGCTCCCCCCAAACTCTTAACCCAATTCAGGAATATTCTCTGCGTTATTGTGTGTCCATGCAGGTAGGTAGGCAGGTGTGTGTATGTCTGAGTGTGGGTTTGAATGAGAGACCCGTCGATTTCGTCCACATATACTCTTACAGTGAGATGTGGGAGTGGGGGTCCATATATTAAAGTATTGACAGAGCTGTGTAGTTCCCCCATAAATAATACCACACACACACACTGTGCAAACACTACCTAGAAATGACACCCACTCAAGCAGCCCACACCAAGATCTCCTCATATGAAATATTGGAGCAGTAGTAGACTGGGAGCCTGAAGCAGAGGGAGCAGACAGTCGAGACCCTGAAATCGCGCTCATTTCTTTTCCTGCTTTTTTTTTTGTTTGTTGTTGTTGGCATCCAACACTGTTTCACCCTCTTTTTATTTTTCCTTTGATGAGAGTGTGTTGTGTCTGTCAGTAAATCACTCTGCACATCATTACTTTGCTCAGTTGGAAAACACACTCTTACACGTGTGACCGAAAACACACGTTGGATGCACTTTGATCATTTCGAAGCAATTAAATCACAAAATGGACCAGATTTCACTTCAGTCCACAACCAGCCATTAGTGGAAATTGAGTAAGGAGGGGAGAGTGGGGATAAGTGGGAACTAGTGTGGAGAAGAGTGGGGGTAATGAGGGATATTGTGGTGTTTCAGTGCCACTAGAGAAGTAATTGGCCTCTCTAAGTCTCCCTTGTGTATTCCCAAAAGGATGCAGGCCTTCTGTACTCCACAAACCCTACAGCTAATATATCTTCTCAAACCAAGAGATCTAACAAGAAAAAGAGAGTAATGATGAGGGCATGCTGGAGGTGAATCAACTCGTAGATCCCAATAAAAAGTGTCTTCACTGGATTTTGTTGGATCTAAATACACATTGTTGAAAGTAATGGAAAGTGTTTTACTGTTGGCTCAGAGGAAATCCCCAGTGGCACCGACTACACATACCTTTTTAGAGTGTCACTCCTTTCAAATGTATTGCTTTTCAGTTCAGTCAAGTGTAACTTAAATCATTTTTCTCAGTTTTTCGAGCAGTGTAGAAGGTGTAAGACTAATGGAGAGTACCATAGACAAATGAGCACGGTTTAATAAGAAACTGATGTAAACAGGACGTACGAATTTGACAGATGTCCGGGATTAGAAGCATTCATGCCTTGCATTGCTTTGCTGCAGCAGTCTACGTGCCACAGGAGGCTGCGTAACTGTTACTCTGTGACGAGTGATGTCACATGTTACCCTCTACTTTTTTCCCTTCGTGTTCTGAACTGTGAAGTAACAAATGAAACCAGAGGCTTTGTGAGACAGGAAGAATGTAGCAGTGGTTTGGACTAAATTCTGAAATCGTTAGGCTAACATGTAACACCTGTGATCACGCTGTTACTAAGCAGATTGCACATCACATTATAAAAACTGTGTGCACAAAGTTGTTCACTTGTACTGGTACGTTTACCGTTGCTCCTTCTGCTCCTCCACATTAGTTTCTCTTAAGCGCCTCCTACTTCGTTCGACCATTATTTCTCTTTTATTTACAATTTCCGTTTCCTTCCTAGGTTATCGTATCCGTTTGGGTTCAAGCACAGACAAAAAAGACACTGGACGCCTCCACGTCGACTTCGCACAGGCCAGAGACGACCTCTATGAGTGGGAATGTCGCCAGCGCATGTTAGCCAGAGAGGAGCGTCACAGACGCAAGATGGAAGAAGATCGCCTCCGGCCACCATCCCCTCCTCCCATCGTCCACTACTCTGAGCACGAGTGCGGTCAGCTGGGAGACAAGATCAAAGGTAGACATGGATGCTGGCAATCTGTGAAGCATGTACAATGAAAAGCATGCAGGATATGACAACACAAACATAAGAAACACAGATTGGCAGAAGAGAAGAACCTGTCGCATGTGTGGAAGAAAATCATTTGCTTCTGTCACATTGTTATTGAGAGAATACAAAAATAGGCCTCATGGTACTGTCTTTATTCATGCAATCCAAAAACTGACAAGGTAGATAATAAGTCATGACAGTGGTTGAGTACTGCGAGTGTGTGTGCTTGCAGGGATTTCCCAGAGCAGGACATTACAGGAACAGCCATAAACTGCAGCCGGTAAATCTGAGCAAGTAATTCTGATGTTCTAACAAATTTGCTTTCAAAAGACGAAGCGGCTGTTAAACACAGTATATCAGTTTACTCTCCCCTCAGCAAATGCTTCTCTCTTATCTCGTCCTCTCTCTTCTACTCTCCTCCCTGCTCATCCTCTCTATTTTTTTCTTCTCAGCTCTTTCTCCCGTTCTCGGCTTTCTGTCGAGTTTCTGGCTGAATAAACTTGTTTCACTAATGAGCAGTGACACTTCCAGGTCTCAGTCACAGTTGCCTAATAACAAAATGGCTGTGACTTTGTGCCTCTCAACCATCTGCGTGAGTCTTTTTCAGCTCTCCCTTCCCCAGCCTTTGGTGCGAAGAACTCCAGCACTGTGCCGTTCTAGCCAAGGATTTGTTTCTGATCACTTTGGGCTGCTGTTGTGAAAACTTTTATCCCAACTATTGCTTCAGATTTAGGTTTTCTTTCCAAAGGGGAAAGAGGATTTAGCCGTTTCTCCCAGGCAGTTGTATAACTCAGATCCTGCTTTTAATGACAAGACACCTATAGAGGAGGTTTTCACCAAGATCCCTATAAATGGGTGCTTGTCTCTGCCCTTAGCTGTTGTTGAAGTCCACAAAGTTGTTTGTTTCCAAATATATAACTGTGTGTCATAATTTGTTTTTCTTTCATCCAGAGGCACTTGCTTTTAATGTTTCCTTGCTCTTATTAACCCTGCTTTTATTTTGTATATGGTCAGTACAGGAGAACATGTTTTTAATATTACAATGTTCCTGCGTTTCACAGTTTATTATATGAAACATTTATTAGTGACCAGAAAGCAGAGCATATTTTCAGCCTTATGGGATTATAGGTGAGAAGTCTCTGCTTTATCATCATGCTTGGTGTTTGGTGCACTCCTCTCCTTTCGTGAGACTGTACAGGGTACAGCACGTTTTTTCTTTTCCGTGTCAATCGTAACTCTTACTCTTTCTTGCCCAGATGACGGCAAATTTCATGAAGCGGTTCGTGTGCTCCTGACCTGGCTTGAACGAGGCGAAGTTAACCGCAGAAACGCCAACAACTTCTACTCCATGATCCAGTCCTCCAACAGCCACATCCGCCGGCTGATGAGCGAGAAGAGTCAGCATGAAAAAGAGATGGAAGAAGCCAAAGACAAGTTCAAGACTGCTCTGGCTGGTATACTGGCTCAATGTGAGTTACTACAGTCTGTCTCTCACAAACACACACTTGCATATTTCAATATTTACACTGTATATACTGTAAGTAAGCTCCTTATTGTGCAATGCAGGAAGAGGATATGATGGCATGAGTCAAATCCTTTTTGGTTCAGTGTAAGTTTTAGGATAGCACACCCACATTGAATGTAAATAGTTTGTAAGCTAGGCAAAGGCACCAAGAATCCAAATCAAGCCTGCATTCTGGAGAACTGTAATCCACTAAAAAGTAAGTATGACATTGTTCACAGTCTCTCACATGATGCACAGACCGTGTGCTTGCACACAAATGTAACTACTGACCGACACACTGCGGATTTAAAGGTTAGGCTTAATAGTGTCATAGCTGCCCTCTTGTCTTGTACTAAATTGTTGTTGGGACCATGGCTTAAAGGTAAGTTTAATTTCTTTCCTAAGAATGAAAATGGTCTGTATTTATATAGCTCTTTATTAGTCCCGAAGGACCCCAAAGCGCTTTACACGATCATTCACCCATCCACACACCCATCCACACACTGGTGATGGCAGCTACACTGTAGCCACAGCCGCCCTGGGGCGCACTGACAGAGGCGAGGCTGCCGGACACTGGCGCCACCGGGCCCTCTGACCACCACCAGTAGGCAACGGGTGAAGCGTCTCGCCCAAGGACACAACGACCGAGACTGTCCAAGCCGGGGCTCGAACCGGCAACCTTCCGATTACAAGACGAACTCCCAACTCTTGAGCCACGATCGCCACGAAATGTTCCCTGTAAGGCTCCTGCTCCCTTTTTGTTGCATCTATAATACAAAATATTTCTTTAAAAAGTCAGAGGAATGAAAGGTTCATATTGTTGTTGGAAGAAAACACAGGAGTGGAATGTTAAGGTTGCAGGATGGACGTAGTAACATACTTTCTGCAAGAATACACTGGAGAGCAAGCATGTACAGGGAATGCTTTGCACACTGATGTTGATAAAAAGCCAAAGGCATAATAAAATGGAGAAACCCACCTTTGGCAGCTTCAGCTCTTCGGCTGCTGATTTACACTAAAGTCTGCAACACTTTGTCACCACATGCATGTTAAATACAACGTAACGTCATTAGAGACGGTCGCTAGTTTCGCTGTTTCATTTTTATTAGATAAACAATGCACATGGAAAACACAGATGGTGGGTATATAGTTCTTTGTATAAACCAGAAAGAGAGGCAGGCCTGTTTGTTGTTGTTGTTGTTGTTATTGTTGTTTTGTATTGGCCATTCTCAATTATTTCAGCCAAACATAAATTCTTAGCTTTTTCCTGATACTGTAACTCAGCCTGTGGGGGAGGCTTTATTTGTCATAACAGTTAAAGTCTGTCTGCTTTACTACTTGCCGTCCACAAATTGTAGTTTGTGAAGCTATATGTCACCTTACAGGATGTCTCTTATCCCAAATTTAACAAAAACATGTTCACTTAATCTTTAGTGGTATCTATTGTTGCATACAGCCACATTGCATATGCCCAGGTTTTGAGATACTGGCTTCTGCTGCTACCTCACTAGATTTGAAGTTGTGTTACTTAAAGCCCTGAAAAAAACAGACTCAAAAGCACATTGCTTCTCCAGAAACTCCAGATAATTGACAGTGAAGAGGTTGTATTTGACCGACTTTCTGCCGTGTCGAAGACGAGTAGTATACAAAATGTATAAATATTTCCATATATGCTCACAGGCCTGAAAGCCTGTCTGAACATGTGCCTCTCTTCTTTCCCCTGACCATCGATTGGATCCATCAAATTACAGGGTGCTGGGAAGATGATATTGATCCTTGAACTGTGCTATCTCTCACCACTCTGCAAACACACACACACCAACGCACACTTAACTGGAGGTCTTATTGGCTCCCCCTCTGCGTGAGTTAGGGCTTCTGAGATACACAGACCACCCATGACCACCTGCATGACAACAGACAGGTAGCTGGTGGTGGAAAAATCACTCAGTTGATGTACTGCACATAAGACAAAATCTGACACAGAATATATTTAGACCCAGAGCAGCTGTCCCCAACCACATCGCTTCCAGAGTAAATGGAGACCCTAAAGTTAAAGGTTCTGGCTTATTGCCTTGTGCTAATTAGGCACGATGACCCGAAAAAACTCAAAGTCCAGACTCGAGTCTCTACCCTTTAAACGACTTTGTAGTTACAGTCGTGTAAAAGGTTTTAGCAGCGGCATGGAGCTTATGGCATTTGCACAGGAAAAATAAATCAGGAACACTCTTACTTGAACAACTTGTTGTCCTTGGGCAAGGTTCTTGAGAGCCCACGTCTGCAGTGGAGCTGCATTGTGGTCAACGGTAGCATACTGAGAGTCAGCCTTGGTTATTTTTGGCAGCTGGCAGTTGCTGAGCAAAATGTCCCTCATTAAACAATAAGTCTGCAGCCATGCTCGCAGCTCTGAGACACTGTACTCCTTCCTTTCTTCAAGTCACATGTGAGGTACTATAATTTGTCTTTTTTAACTAGTATTAACTTCAGCATCCAAGATGTAATTATGACTGGAAAGCTGACATTTTTGGGGAAACCTGTGATATTCCCAACTGGCATTTAAAAGCACCTGAACTGACAGGAAAAAAGAAGATATGAGTAACTCTTCAGTCAGTGTCAAGATTGAATTCGGTATGTTCAAATTTGTTAGACATGGTGGTGTATTTGGCTAATCGTAAGCCACTCGGTTTAATTATACCATACCTGTTAAATGCAGATTACCCATTAATTTGCTTGCTTGTAGTAAGAAGCTGAGTGAAGTAGCTTCCCAAATATGTGCCTGGAAATATTTCAAGAACTACAAGATGTTCCTTCAGAAAATTTCAGGGGAGTTTATCCTCTGGGGTTCATGAATAACTGCCAAGTTTAGTGATCCAGTGGTTATGTTTGTGTCAGCTTGAACTAAAATAATCAATTTGTGCTATAGAGCCGTGTTGGTAATTAAAGTCAAGAGTAGACATGTGCTAAAGAGCAACTGCTCTGCAGAAACCAGTTTGTCTCATATAATTCAAGCACGCTCTGCGGAAATTGTATAATTTCTTGAACTTTTGCTTGTGGGAACTATCTGATCACTCTCCCATAGGATGATGCACTGGCATCAGCTGGTAAGTAGAACACACGCATGCATATACCACTGAACGAACACACACACTCTCTCACACACACACACACACACACACGCACACACACACAGTTCTTTACATCCCTAGTTGACTCCGCTTTTTCACTCCTCTGCTCCTTCCCAACTGTCCTCTCTCTCTTTCTCTCTTTCTCCCTCTCTCTCTCTCTGTCCTTGGGTGGTCACTGGTCCTTCCCTGCATCCTGCCACAGTTGAACAGATTGTGTCTGTATTCCAAGCTGCTTCCAAACAAAAGGCATGGGACCATTTCTCCAAAGCTCAGCGCAAGAATCTGGACATGTGGCGCAAACAAGCAGAGGTTGGTACATTTTGATTTAACTGTGTCAATCACATCATTTATGGAAAAAATTAGTCATTATTCCACTTTGTTTTACGCCTTCTCAATGTAAAGCTCTTTAAAATGTTGTTTGATACCAAAGAGGTGATGGTAATAATAAAGAAATAATAGGAAAGGGCAGAGCCCTTGTAATAGTAAGTACTTTGACTGAAGCAAGGCTGCAGAGCAGGTGCCTTCTCAATCGAGTCATTGCGAGATCCAGGCACAGACTGAGGCCCAGACCTCTGCCCTTTCCTCCTCCACTCCTTCCTCCAGCCTTGCCTCCCCCATGAAGAGATACAAGGTGCTTGGTGAGTCTGTTTCTTCCACCCCTAAGTGTGTTCAAGAAGAAAGGTAAATCTGTACAAGCCTTCCCTGCCCTCTTCACCAATAAATTAGAAGATGTTGATTTTGGGGGGGCTTTTTTCGTTCTCTGAAGTAAATGATTGAGGGACATATATTGAGAGCTAAAAGCATATTCATTTTCAAGTCTAACAGCACTTTTGTCATCTGCTGTCTGCTTGCTATTTTCTCTCTCTGCCAAATGGAACATTAATTGACATGATGATGGGTTGTATGTAATGGAGGGTCTGGCATGTGTTGCAGTCCTGCGTCTAATGGACCATATATGAGCATATCTGATTGGTAAGTTTCTTTGAACCATAGTATGAAAAACAACCGTTTTAAGATGCAAGTTAAAGCCCAGTTAAGATGCTCATTAATAACAAAATAAGTCATAGCAGAAGCAGCAGTCAACTTGTGCAAAAAAACTTCACATTGAAGGTAGGTGGTGGTGCAAATCAGAAATGTCGCTCCAATTATCAGATGTACTGCAGAATTATGAGCATGGAAATTGTGTTTATAATGGCTCATGTTAAGGCCTCTGAGTAAGAGAAAGCAGAATGATGCATATTTAATTGCACATGCTGCCATCAGGAAAGACCCTTTTGTTTTGTTGCCATTCCTCACTCAGTCCTTAAGCAATACACTCACTGGCGAATCATACTTTTGTACATATATAAAAACATACTCTTAGATATTGAAAGTTTTCAAATCTCTTATGCTGTGAACAGTGTTTACATCAGGCCTTGGGGTTTTTTCTGTTCTTTTCCTGCCTTGCATACATTTGAGTGTACAGTATGACCCTAAATGTAAACAAAAGAGACCACGGTGGGTGGACACTGCTGCTAAATATGTCCTGATACAAGGAAACATCCCTGTTTGAAACATCCTTCAAAGTGTTTTCTCTTCAGGCTGTTTTACACTTACAATCGCTGAGAAGTGATTTAGACACTTCGTGACATTGTGTGCTTGTCTCAAAGTGAGCGATAAGTGAAGTAATTTCAACTCTAGCTGTTGGGTTAGCATAAACCCGAGTTGAGTCTTTATCTCTGGCTGTTAGGGCTCAGGGCCTGGGGGAAAGTAATCGTAACTAGCGAGGTCATATGCAACCGGTAGGCGTCTTCAAGTATAGATTATCCTAATAAATCACTCGGTGCCCTTACTCCCTGTACATTCAAACACTGTGAGGTGTTTTAGTATCTGTCAGCTCATTGCTTTGGATCAGTCTGGCACTTGAGCTTAACCTGCAGCAGGCAGAAAAAAAAACTCTTCTAAAATGTATTAAATAAATAGGGAACAATTACTCACGTTAGGTATAGAAAAAAATCAACCTCTAAGGAGGCAATGCTCCTTTATGCTTCACTGAATGCTTACAATTCCAAAAAGTGCACTTGCATTTCATGATTGCTTACAAGAAACACATCCACGCCTATATTGCTGGGTTGGTACAGTGCACTCAGCTGCGTGAGCCGGAAGCTGTTACCTTTAGTTATATATGGACGTGTAACAAGAAGTGTGAAAGGCAACTACACATTGTGTGTGAAGGTCAGAGAACCAAAACAATGGGTTTAAAAAGTCAAAAACTGCATGTGGCTGTAGAGGTGGATGCTTCGACTTTAACCATTAAAGCTGATCATTTCTTTACATTACTATCAAATAATGGTTTTATTTTGTTCATGCCTATCTGTCTTAGAGGCTGTAGTGCTTGCAGCCGCTGTCCAGTGTATAGAGAATAGGTAAGTAAGTGTGTTTGTTTGGGGACAGTTTAACATCAGAGGCAGCCAGTATCACTCTGTGGCCTAAAGGCGAATAATAGAGGAACGGGCGGCGCTGTTGAGGAGCTGCAGCTCACAGGCAGAATCAGACAACAGCTGTCTCTCTGTTTTTATGTGGTGTGTTTGTGTACATGCAGTGGATGTGTGCTTGTGCACAGAGGGTTGTTTCTCCACATGTGCTTGTGTGTTTCGAGTACCTGTTTGACCTGTGCCACAGGCTCAGGCTGATAACATCAGCTGACAGATGGTTGTATTTACTCTTGGGCTGCTTGGGCGGCTTTTTTGCTCCCTCCCTTAGAAATTGTTATTTCATTGATTTTGCACTTTTTATCTACTGATGGTGTTTGTAAACACAGCACTCCCCATATGTGTCTTTCTGTATTTATTTCAGTAAATACTTGTTTTCATGTTTCACTGTCTTTATTTCATTGATTGCCTAAGAGACACCCTGTTGATAATGTGTCCGTGTAGTTGTGTGTAATACATGAAGAGAATATCATGCTTTGAAAAAACTCCTTTGAAAGACACTAGAGGCTCATGCAGGCTTGTTAAGTGATGGCTTGTATGTTTTGCTTTTGTTCTAAAGCATAAATCATATATTTAATGATTTAACCCTTGTGTCGTCCTCGGGTCAAAAATGACCCCTAGGTGTATGGCAAACAAGTGTATGGGAATCCCGAGGACAACACAAATAAATGGAGGTCAAAGTTTAAATCACTTTTGATCGCTAAATGCTGTAAATGAGTGAAGTCGCAGGAGAGAGGAGTATCATGGTGAGATGATATTGATCGATGCCTTTGGCTTTAAATCGGCTGCCTCAAAGTTCAACCGTTAAGCTGCAACAAAGGTTGAGCTCTATAGATGATTGTGCAGCTGTTATATTAACAACTGCTTTTATTATATTCATTAATATGTGTTGCATACATGTGTGAATCAAGTCCTCACCCCTTTTGCAGCACAAGCTAAAATATTAGGCCTGTCAGAGCATGTAATCGTGTATCTAATGCATCGTACATCTAAATTAGCTGTGCATTATAATTCTTTCGAGATGTATATTTTACACTAAAATGCAAGCATGTTACATAAAGGTCCAGACACAGACCAAACAATGAAGATGTGGTAGGATAGTCTTAGTATTAACAGTCGACCATATGTTTATTCGTTTGTTGGTTTTGACTTTTTCTCAGCACAAACCTGGAAGGTTTTGTCTCAATTACAGCCACTCCATTTCAGTGGTATGACCTTAATCTTTAAACCATTTTGAAACCTGCTTCTGGTTACTGGTCTCCAGATGGATGTAGTCATTAGCGATTCTGTCTGTGAGGGTGAAATGAAATGGAGAAGATTGGTATTTTACAGTTACTGCTGGTGTTTCCAGATGTGCCCTCAATTAGAATAAAACATGGGCATAAAAACCAGCAGCAGGTGCAATGTGCACCGAGACACTTATCATGGTTTGTTGTTGTGAATCAGTGTGTAGTGAAATTGAGGAGCTTTGATTTCATTGACAGATGGTAGAGTTGCATTTGTATGGCTGCTTTAATGTGTACTGTTTTCTCCAAGTACAAAACGGTGAGGTCTCATTGTATATGTGCTACCATATACCCCATTTCCGAGCCATAGAAGGAACTGAGCCCTAGCTCTGATATCATCCTTTTTATCTCTCTGCAGCTGCACTCCTTTGTTCTGTACCAATATGTTAAGTTTTCCTTTGCAGCTCAGTTTTCCTTTAGCGTCAACTTTGAAGGAGTTTACTGATCAGCACCTGCTAAAATGTGCATCACTCTGGAGTCTTTGCAGTTTTGACCCGTCGCTCTTTTCACTGTGTTTTGCAGGAGATTAGAAACATGCACAACGAGCAGCTGATGGGCATCAGACGAGAGGAGGAGATGGAGATGTCTGATGATGATATGGAGGATGCCCCTGACAGCAAGGACTCTGAGGACTCAGGTATGCATATGCATCCACAGTTCAGCACTTCTGTCATCTTGACAGGAAGTACACTGATCACGATTTCCAAAGGATCAGCACAGAGACTGTTAAATAACTGAGGGAGACAGCTCTGTTTGACTGAAACGACAGTAATCATCCCCCAAGCACCTGACATGCCTGCATGAATAAAAAAACACATTCAGACTACATCAAGTTGCTGACAATATGCAGGCTAGCCTGAGTTAATGTTGAACATAAGTGCTGAATGTCATTCACCTCAGTCCACCCCAGTGAATGTACACATAGGAGCATGTACATGTACCAATCTGTCCACATCTGCCAGCTGCCATCTAATTTCAGATTGGGGTATCACTGAAGTGCCATAATCTTCTGTTGCTCCCTCAAAGGAGACTCTTTGTGTTTGCTGAAGCAACAAAAGTTAATGATGCTGCTAATCCCTCAAACCCCATAACAATAACCCAATAATTCTATAGTAGTCATTGGTGCAACATGCAGGGAACCACATGTGAGGCCTCTTCATCCCATGTTCTGTGCCTCTTTTCATGTCTCAGATGTGTGGTTTCTTCTTGGCTGTTAATCAGCCTGATCTCTGCCTTTTGCTAATATGACAGCATCTCTAATTAGCATGCAAATGTATGTAAATGCACTCGTCACTTCAGCCCCTTCTCTTTTGCAGCCTTGCTGTTTAGCTATCATTAATTAGCATTGCTGTCAAAGACCTGTCATTTCGCTCAATGCTGCAGGATTGGCTGAGGTGGCAGGTGTTAATGTGACACTTTTTCGTATTTGTGTTGACAGGCTGAGTGTTGCCCCCCCCCCCCCCCCCCCCCACACACACACACACACACACACACACACACACACACACACACACACACACACACACACACACTCACTAACCTTTAAGCAAACGGGCATGTTTACACGTCAACCATCCCGGCTAAAAACACCTGTGTTATGACTGCAGCCTCTTAAAAAGGGAATCGATGCTCCGCATCTGACTCATGTACAGAATAGAAGGCAAAAGAGCCGCTTCTGTGCATGACTGTACACCCGAAGGTGTATGCCTACGTGCACACTCGCGGATATCTGCAGGTCGATAGCTTTGCCTGTTACGTAACAGAATCTGGCCAAGCAGTTGACATCTCCTCACACCAAGCTGATGAGGCTCTCAGATCAATACACTTCTCACCTCAAACCTTCATTTTGCTGGTAGGAAAGAGCACACACAAACCCAGCGTGGACACACACACACACACACACACACGCCCAGCAAGAGTTCATTAACACTGCCAATGGTCCTCCATGATAGACTGCAGGCAGCACTCGTGAACACCCACACAAAACCTAACAAGACATGCTTTCACGCACACACTCACTCACACAGGATGGGGCTTATCTCCCCAGTCCAGTCAGTGTGTTGCAGTTTCCCAAAGAGCTTCTGCTCAAGGCTTGCAGTAGGAGAGCAGAACCGATATAGTAGTGGACATCTTTGGAGCTAAGCAGATCTCATGGAATAATACCTCCTCCCAATCTACTCCTTTACTCAGTAGGTCAGGTCAAATGTCCAGATGAGAGCTACTGGCTAGAACACTCTGGTATTATTACAGCTTTGAGTACATTAATATATACTACAGGTGTTTGATCCCTGGACATGGTATATAGAAGTGACAGTGCTCCACCAACTTGACAGCATTGTACTGTTGGACTTTGGGCCCTTTTGTGTTAGAATGCTTGAAAAGTAGCTAAATATCATTTACATTTGGTTACCCAGTCTGCTTTCTAAAGGGGACCTACAATGCTTGTTTGCTTAACTACCCTTTCTGCTTTGGTTTAAGGGGGATGGGGGGAGGCCCCTTTTTCAGCTGACATAAGGGTATATCCTGGACAGATCAGCAGTTTAGAATCACCAATTAGCTTTACACACACATCTTTGGACTACTGGAGGAAAGCAGAGTGCCTGGAGAAAACTTACACAGAAACAATGAGAGCATTCAAACACCACAAAGCGAGCCCGCAGCTTACAGCAACCTTTTCTCCTGTGAGGACACTAACCACCTCTGCCTTATGCTCATTTCCAAAGTCTTGTTTTTATTCGTGGACTCTAAAATTGTAGCTTTGCATCAGTAACAGTTTTGTAAAATCTGTATTTATCTTATACTGTGGATTAGTGCAAACCCCTCAGCTTGGTCCAGCCAGTCACTGGTCTAAAACAAGCTGCTTTCGTTCCCTTCCTCTTTCCTTTCCCAGCGTTTCTTTGATTTGCTACCCCTACTAAAAGCGTTTGAACAGGAGTTGTTGGGGCCGTCTTTCACAGCTAGTGCTGTTGGCCTGGTGTGGCCATATCAGTTTATCCAGTGTCATTGACATTTTACAGAGCCCAGAGTAGAAAATATGCCTCAAAGTAAACATTTAGAGCAGCCCGAGCTTTTGGCTCACAGGGATAACTTTCATATATATTGACCTCAGTGTTTGAAAGTTCTGCAGTGCTTAGTGTAAGCATGCACTACACAGAAAATAAGGAAAAGCATTATGGGTAGCAATGTAAAGTTTTCTCCAAGCTTTCCTCCCTGGGTCAGCTATAAAATTTCATATAGTGAACTTGTTCATCAGTCTGGATTTACTCAAAATGTGATGCGAGTTGTTTTTTCTTTTTAATATCTTGCCAAGCCGCTGTCATTCAAGTTATGAAAGGGAAGGAGCCTCTGGTTCCAATTTCAAAATGTCTTTGAATGATATCCTCACTGTTAACCTGGAGACACAGCACTTTCTCAGTTGATCAAACATCGTATGTATTTGTTTTGCTATAAGCAGGGATTAAATTGGGATTTGTATGAGGTTCATAAGTGTAACTTATAACTGTGACTGGCAGAAAAATATTTCTGCATACAAAAGGTCCATATTGAAGTAAAAAAAGTTGAAGCATCAAACTTTAAAGATGGGAATTAATAATCATGGTCCAGCCTTTCTTATAATTACATCAAAAGGAAAATTCTTTATAGACATTATAAGTGATGTTTCACTGCTTTCAGTACTTTGTATTGAACAGTGTGCAAATGTAAGCTAACCCTGCTAGCAGTGGAACCTATTGGCTAGCTTATTGTAGCAACTGGCTAACTGAAATAGACTTTCATAGCGGTTTACTTTCATGAAAGGAAACTACAATAAGCTTCTGTGTCTCTCCCTAGCTTGAGTCCATCTTCTCCTGGCATCTATTTTATCTGAATGAAAAAACAGACAAACTCACTGGGAGACCACACTTCATGCACACTACATTATTCAGTTCACTGTTAAACCCAACGGTTTGTTTGAAAATGTATTTTAGTCCTTGGCTGAATTATTAAGATAAAGAATTACATACGTTGTTAAAGATAGATCTGTGAGGCTGGGTGTCGCCTGATGGCAGTGAAAAGTAAATGTGCCTGAGCTGAAGTCCAGGATATAGCAGTGAGTTGTTGCCAGCCGTGATACTCTAGCTGGCATGATTTTCATCTTGTGAATCTGTATGTGTCTGTGTGCAGACGTGGCAAAATGTTTCTCTGGCAAAACCTGCACCAAAGGGCGTGTCTGCCTCTGGATTTTAGCAGATCTGAAATTTTCCAGGTGTTCAGTTTAGATCAAAAAGAAGCCACATCTCAAAAATCACCGTAGCCTGACTTGTGAACACAAAGTACTATTTCGATGATATATTTATTACTAAATTCGATTTTTACCAATTATATATAAGAAACATAACACGTCGCAGGTAACACGATCCCATCACTACACATTCTTTAGCTTTTTCTTCAACTTTATTTCTGAGATATCAGTTTTTGACCATTATTTCTGACCTTGATGGCTGCCTTTGTGCCTCAGCCATTATTGTTGGGTAGCTGAAGCCAGTCAGAGGTGCAAATCAAAGTGGTTGCAAACAGAAAATGCTTCATTATATTATCAGGAATATGGTATGTAAATTTCATGCCTATCCAAGTGAAAGAAATCCTCCAACTGCGAATAAAATGACAGTGGGTAAAATAATGGGATGTAAACCAAGCTTTCTGGAGCTTTGATGTCAGCTGCTTTGTAGATAAATACCATCTTTTTCTGTCATGCTCTGTCCTAACTCTTTTGTTATCAACGCTCTAATAGTCACCTCCTGCTGTTGCCTCTGTGAATGAGGAGTGATGCATTCATGACTGCACATGTCACTGTCAGAGGTGCAACCTTTACTATCTTTTTTGTGTTTTAATATATACGTCTTCAGAGGACAAACAGCTCGGGGAAAACTCAAGAGCACCGTATCAGGAGTGACACAGTAAAACTGAGCCTTATCTCAACTGGAATTTGTATTGTTAGGGGTGTTAAATGAATACATGGAATGACCGGTGGCGATCCATGATAACCAGAATATTTAATTTTCTCTGTGTTTATTATGTAGGAGTTTCCCAAGCAGAGGCATTAAAGGAGGAGAACGACTCCCTACGCTGCCAGCTGGACGCCTACAGGAACGAGGTGGAGCTGCTAAAACAAGAACAAGGCAAAAATCAGCCAATTAGGAGCGAGGAGGACAACACTCACTCACAGCAGCTCAGCTTCCTGCAGCAGGCTCTACAAGGCATGCAGAAGGTGATGCTTATTGTCTACACAGAAGCATACAGAGACACCATCTTCCAGCCTTCTGTCCATCAGTGGGTTTAATCTCCTATTGGTTCCTGTCGGCACTGGGTACTTTGTACCAACAAGGTCGCTCAGGTTAACTCGTTGAATTTTCTATGCAAGCTGAAACCTTCGCTGTCATTTATCCATGACCCAGCACTTTAAATGGTAGCTAAGTGCTATTTGGGAGCACGTAGAGAAGCACAGTTGTCTGGAGCATCTGTGAAGAGCAGCTGAAAAATATTTTTACTGGAACACTTGTTCACTGTCAGAACGGGTTTTATTTGGAACTGGAGAGCTATGTGCTGCGATTCAAACAGCATGTTCTTGGAACGAACCCAAGCCTATTAAAACCATTTCAGACCATTTAATCAAAAAAAGATATTGAAAAAACATTATTAGGATTTTAATGACATGAACTAGGTTTCAATCTAAAAGTTGCTGAATAACTTTTTACATTTCCTACTTTGAAAAGAACCCATCTAAGTGTTTTAGAACATTTGGGCATCTTTCTTTGCCTTTAGACAATAATTCTGATGGCAAAAGACCCAAACGGGACAGGCAAAAAAAGACCTCAACCCCAAGGTCAAGGAGTGAGGTCAAGTTTTCTGAAAGATAGGAGGCTGAGGTGGTCAGTAATGTCACAAAGCATGTACAGACATTTTACAGGTTCAAGTCTACAAAGTTTAGTTAATAGGCTCCTAAAACTCCAAAAATAATTTGACTTCATGCATCCTCACATGCAGCATTATCTTTTCATGCACCTCTGGACCCATTTTCGTTCAGCTCATGTTTTACATCCCTACACAGAAGTGTTTTTTCTGGTCCCCTTGCACTTGTGCCTCCACAGTGCCTGCAGAGTTTCCACCTGGTTTCCAGATTGTGGAAAATTGCAGTCAGAACAGTCTGGGGACAAAGTGAAGGTGCAAAGTGACCCAGATCCCCTGGATCACCCTCCTGACCCTACACGCCTACATGCTGGGTCACAGCTGAGGACACACCTCTCATCACCGCTGTTGATCCTCTACAAGGAATTGGCTTTAGTATTTTTTTATGTTTTAGGGGGAAAAGCAGCCACACTGAAAGCTGTCCAAAAGTAAAGAAGATAATCTTTAAGACTATATTGGCTAAGTCATTTAAAGTTTTTATTATTTGTATGGGTTACCTTTGGAGCCTTTTATTCTTGACCTTGAAAACAGCAGATCAGCAAACAGTTTTATAAGGTCTGTTGAGTCGTTCTGCAGCAAAATGGGGAAACAAGGACATGCGTAAGTTCAATTAACTCTAATTCTGTTTCAGCATTGTGAACCGGATCTGCTGATTAAGATCAAAACGATCACTGAAATATTATCTTAACTACTAGATCTTTACCTGACAGCTTAATAATCTTTCTAAATTTGAAATGAGCAGCCATAGGCTGTCAGAAATCCTTAAATCTGCCTTTACAATGCTAAAGTTTGACTCACTCTGGGTGTCTCAGGTAATGGAAATTATGATCAATTCATGTTTAGAAGAAGAAAAATCCATTAAACCCCCGCTGCTCATTTCTGCTCACGGAGAGTAATTACCTTTCCAACTTGCATATCCCGTGGTGTGTTTATGAAAAGATTAGGTGAATGGATTAAATGAACTGGAAGGCGCTGCAATGGGATACCTCTCCTTTGTCAGCGTCCACACGTTGTATTGCAGAGTCCCTCAGACTAGAAAGTAAACAAAAATATCAGCACATACTGACAACCTTGTCTCGTATTCTTGTGAATTATAGTGTAACAGACAAAAAGCACTGAGTGATTAGGAGTGCAGGCGAACATTTCTAGCTGCAAAGACCCCCCTCCAACAAGCGTACCGCCTTTGTGTTGAAATGAACACAGAAGGTGGATCTTTTTATCTGTGTTCAGGAAGAAACGTCAGACAAATTGGACACAAATCTAGGTGTTAGCCTTCAAAGCTTTCTCAAAACTGGTTCTTCTGGTACTCAAAGCAAGCATGAAACCCAAATGAGCGTTCCAATTAACATCCCTATTAAGAGTTTTTCTTCTATATTCATGCATATTCATTTTTGACTGAAAGATCTGCAAAATGATTCCTCTTGGACACATGCACGAGAGCAGAATTTTTCTTTCATCATATAATTCACATCCATATCTAATTGCTTTTTTGTATTGAGCTGAAGTTCCAATTACCAGTATGGGGATTAGATGCTAAATATTAATGAACAAATGGCGTATTGTTCCTCTGCTTTCAGAGCAGGTTGATTATGAGGTTAGCATTGTCACGGTTAGTTAGCTCACAAAGGCATTAGTGGCTTAATGTGCTCGCTTTTTTGTTTTTACAGCAACTGTTAAAAATGAGGGAAGAATTAAAACAGCGGGAGGCCGAGCTGGAGAAGAGTTTGGAGGAAAAACAACAGCTGAAGAATCAAGTGCAGAACCTGAAGGAAGGTCTCCAGAACCTGCAAAACGCACACGTAATGCAGGTAGGTGACAGACATGCACGCTTTCACTGGGAACATGTGAGCGTTGCCATTCTGCGTTTCATAGGAGAGTGAGTTTGTTTGTTCGAACAGTTATTATTCTGCACTTTAATGGGAAAGAAATTAGTCCGAGGCCTTCAAGAAGTTTCAGTGCACAAAAGAAATTAAAGATGTAAATCATAAATAAATAAACAGCGAGCAATGTGAATGCTGCAGTAAGTAGTCTGGGGTTGAGAAAATCACTTTGAACTAGTTTAAAGCTCTTCTAAACTCATCAGGATCCCAAAATGGCCACATTGGGTGGAAAAACCAGTGTGCTTGACTGCAAACAAACCATTCAATGGTGGCTGAACCATATAAATATCAAACTATACATGAGAACCTTTGTGCTCACAGTTACATGTATAAAGTCTGAAAAAAGAAATTGATGCACTTCAGCATGAATCATGGCTCAAGAGTTGGGAGTTCGCCTTGTAATCGGAAGGTTGCCGGTTCGAGCCCCGGCTTGGACAGTCTCGGTCGTTGTGTCCTTGGGCAAGACGCTTCACCCGTTGCCTACTGGTGGTGGTCAGAGGGCCCGGTGGCGCCAGTGTCCGGCAGCCTCGCCTCTGTCAGTGCGCCCCAGGGTGGCTGTGGCTACGATGTAGCTGCCATCACCAGTGTGTGAATGTGTGGATGACTGGATATGTAAAGCGCTTTGGGGTCCTTAGGACCAAGTAAAGCGCTATACAAATACAGGCCATTTACCATTAGCATGAATGGGGTCTTCAAAATATTAAAACTGGAAAAAAGGACAGACTGCAATGAGATTTCTGACTTTTACTGGAGGTTTCGTTCTCATTTTCCTCCCTGGAGTGTTTATTCATTTTTTAAACCACGGTATAATCAAGTTTTTCATTTGTAATTTTACTCCAAAAAATATTAATGTTGCAGCGTTCATGTTGTAAGTAGTTCAGTAAAATGACATTTATGAATTCCCTCTGTTTATGTAATAGTAATGTGCCCTACTAAAAAGCAAAAGAACATTTTAACTAATACCCATTTAAAGGCCTGTGTGTCGATTGTGTATTCAAACATTTTTCAGTGTCTGCAGGCATCCATAGAAACAAATTGAGCTAGTAAACTATAGCTGCACCATATCTTCCAGGTAGTTCCATTTTCAGCTGCTTTCAGCTCTGATCACTTGATTTGTTGACTGAAAATCAAAGTATAATAAAATAATAATCAAAAAATAAAAGAACTTCTCTCTTTTACCTTCTCTTAAGTGATGTTTGGTGGCATTATTCCCCTTGTAAATGGTAACAGACTGAATGTAATTGTTCTCCATCTCCAAATCATTTCGTCCAAATGGCAGCTTGTTGCTGTAGCTGACTGTAGAGCAGAAATATGACCGTCGACGTTAATTGCAAAACTAACTGGTGAGTTTCAGCCTCTGTTTTGTTTATTCGGTTGCACCATTTCTGCTTGTGCTTCGACTGTGCTGGCTACATCAAACGTTTGAAAAACAGCAAAGCTTGACCTAGATCACAACCTGGTATTCACTTAGTCTTTCTTTACAAATTTTCATTTTGTTTTGGGGCCAAACTCAGACCTGCACAAGAAACTGAAATCTGTACAGCTGTGCACAAAAACTTCAGAGAGGAAGGTGCACACGAGTCACAAGCCTGACCTGCTGTAAATTTGGCCAGTGCCACTTTGAAGGTCACCATCTTGTTCACTTCTGAACTACTTTCAAGTGGGAATGCTATTTTTGGCTCTCTCATAGGAAGTGCTTCTTATGCATTCTTCCTCTTTAACATGTCAAAATGGGAATGTTTCAGCTTTATTTTCATTTTCGGGATCTAGATGAAGGGAGGCAAATTTGGCAATCTAGTGATGCGGGTTGTGAGTGAAGATTGTGTTTGCGCAGCCAACAAACTCCTCTGTTTTCACTGCGCGCTGTGAACCAGCACACAGTGGCACTTCCAGTTTTCTCAGCTGAAACTTCTCTGGCAGACGCCTCAGGACAGTACAGTAAAAGTCCACATTAACAGTCTCACCCTGGGGAACCAACTCACGATGCACAACCCAGTGGGGGAAAAATGGGATTTGTCTGAGTGTTTTCTCACCTGAAGCGCCGCCTTAAGCCGTGGAAAGTTTGGACTCCACTGCGAATTCATATAGTATACAGTTTAAGTGATCAGAACAAGGCTTACAGAGACCAATCTGTAGTAGATGGTTTCTGCACATGGTCAAGAAGATGACCTATGAGAAAATGACATGAGCTAAATGTAAATCAAACGAGGCTTTAGATTTTCATGTACCCATTTCTAGAGTTTTTAATTCAGACCTTATTCAGTGTTTAAGCTGGACTACACAGAAGACTGGGCTGTGGTGCCTCTAAAGCACCTCTCCCTTGGTCAGCCAGAGTCTCATCTTTGAGTGGGTGACAGCACACTGAACCAGAATGTAGCGTTATTTCACCAAAAACAGCGATCGCTCGTAGCAAGGCTTGTTTTTCTTTTAAATAACTCCCATAAGGCCAACTTTCCGCACGCACCCTCAACAGCATCCTGCCCAGTCGGGTACATTTAATCAGTCTCCACAGGCTCATCAATCATTATCTCTACATCCTTACTATCATAAAATGAAAACCTGCCCTTGCTGCCTCATTATAACAATGCTGAGTATTTCAAGGCCCTTATCGTTATCCAAGTAACATACCTAGGTGTAAACAGAGTTTTTAAAAGCTCTCTGCAGAACATCCATGCCAGCAAAAAGATTACTGCCAAAATAAATACCTTCAGCCTTTAGGTTGTAACCTGTTTGTCTAACAGTAAGGCAGCGCCAGCAGCAACTCCCATCTCACCGTGCCCTCGTCTGCACCAGATAATGCAGTTTTTAAGGGTTTTTCTCTTCTGTGAGGCAGGCTGGCTAACCATCTGAACTGTATGTTCTCACAACACCCGCATGACAAAAATACCAAAGAAATTAATTCACTTTTTTAACTAGAAACACATTGAGCACAGTTGACCAAACTCAAATGGTTTCTTCCCTTTTCTGCAGCTGCGATTTTATGTCACGCCGACCACCAGCCTTACCCAGTCATGCGCTCTCAGTCCTGAACATTTTGTCCTTTGTGTCATGCATCTGCACCGGCATCACACAAAGCAGTGTTTTTTTTTGTCTCTCAGAGAGGCTGTAACTAACAGCGATGTCAGAGTATGGTCACCAGATTGGGGGATATTACCTGCCAGATAGGAGCCACATGGCCACACCTGCTGCTTTATTAATCTACATTGGTGTTTTTGGGAAAAGACTGCTAGTAACAAAGTGCCTAAAGATGCAATTTCAAATTGATTCTTTGCTCAGTCGTCTGTGTTGACATAACACTGGCTCATCCCTTGAGTTAGGTGCCTTTGTAATGCTTGAGTGATTCATAGGTCAATGTTAAGTGGTTCCGCAAACAAACAAAAGCATTCCTCTGAAAGCAGTCGGGTACAAGGACTGGAATGAAAATGAGTGAAACCTTTGAAAGACCTTCAGAAAGCCTTAAGAACTATTGCTCAAGACCACTTAAAAATACAAGAAAGTCTGGCTCCTTGGAAGCAAAATACAAAGAAGTGAGGAGTCCAGCGCTGTCTGTAGGGCTGAACAATGAATCTAATTTTCATTTCAGTTACATTTCAATTCAGTTTAAGCTCGCAGTGATGAGTAAAACAAGGTGATTTAGATCAAACGACTACTGTGCCACTCTTAAAATGACTCTTTAGTAAATTTAGTATTTTTCCGAACTGAGTAATTGTGGTAAATGGTCATCTGAATGTTGATCACGATAAAAGGATTTTTGCCACCATCGAGCAACCCTGCCTACCCCAAAAAAACACATTAGTTAAATGTGCTTCTTCCACTGAGACACATTTTTCCATTTAATATTGATTCGTGTCAAGCTGTATTACTACACTCTTCCACTGACAGACGCACAATCCTCAATCTTATAAACAATTTCAGTTTTCATGGGTCATTTTTCTCTGCTTGCTGTGTCATGTTTACTAATGTTTCAGGTGTTGTCCCATGCGCCGAGTGCTAAAGTGCTCATGTTTGTTAATGTTCCTTCTCGCTCGGTATAATGAGAGAAATGGCTGTCATTAAAATGAGCCTCGGGTTAAATCGCCTATTAAATTGGATGATAATACAAACGAAAGGCTCTCAAACTATGTGGGAGCCTCTGCGTGTGTTGTGTTGTCTGTTAGCTCGGAGATAACAGGTTTCATGCGACGCCGAGCTGAGTTAGTCATTTGTTAACGGATCTCTTCTTCTTCCGATCAGCTGGAATGACAGGGTTGTCAATAGCTTGTTAAGAGTGATGGGTTTGATTAGAAATGTGTCCCTCCACAACTGTGAGCCCTGGGAAATATGCTAATTAAATTCTTGCATATGGGCAAACATGAATCATGAAAGACAGTCTCATTAAAGGGAGAAAGAGAAATCAATTTTGGGGCGTTGGTTTCTCCGAAGATTAGCAGGCAATGTAGGATGATTTGTCATGCCGAGGACATCTCTCATGCCATCAGTTCTTCTTCACTGGTTCAGTCACTGTCCTTACTGTCAGCGAGCTGTCGCCACATATCACTTCACCGATGCAAGTGCAGGTCATTGAAGCCATTAACCTTATTATTATGATCACAACAAACATCTTTATCATTTCTTTGTATGTATTTTATTGTCGTCACTAAGAGTTTTCCGTTGGGATTTATCGGCTGCTTTCCTTTGTGAGTAAAGGGGCATTTCGCTGACTTAGTATCGCAAGTTACCACTTGTGAGACGATATACATGAGAAAGCCAGGATATTCAGACTTTCAGTACCTAATATAAGGAAAGCACTTCCCATTATGCAACTCAATAGTTTATTTTCACTGGAAGCCTCCCACACTGTAAATGTAAACTCAGCATCACCCACAATTATTCCTTATGATAAAAAGCATAATTTAGAGCCAGAGATAAGGGTAGCAATCTAAAACCAATTCTAGTTGAGTCCTTTCCATTTAATTGTATTCTTTGTAAGCTTGGCGGGTTTATCTGACAGTCTAACTTGTGGCGTTGGAGCTTTGCACACCTGAGTCAAATGCAAGCCTTTATTAAACACTGTTTTTCTGCTGTGTTTGGGTCCAGAGCCAGTAAATTGTTCCAGACAGAATATTGATTATAAATCAGTAAAGAAATTGATGTGTATGTAGAATCCATAACAGTCCATAATAACTTATAGACATAAATGACTTTATTTGTAGTAACTGCTTTTCACAAGATAAAGCTGTCTGTGAGCTACAGTGGGTCTGTTTGACACTCTGACAGCTTCTGAAGCTCCTAATTTTTATATTTTCGACTCAACTTGTTAACATAGCAGGACAGTGATCCGAAACACACCAGCAAGTCCACCAATCCAAATTAAATACACAGACTGTACATCCGTGAAAACCCGTCCTTACACCTGACAGGCTGTTTTTTTTGTTTTGTTTTTTAAGCTGATCATTTAGCAGGTCTGCTGTGGATTTCTTTGCTGTTGATGGACTAACGTATCATTAGAGCTGTTTTATATTCCAGAAAAATCAGGACGCACACTGTTACATATTTAATAGCTGACTTGTTTGTGCCAGTTTTGACTCAGGAAGAGTTAATTACATCCATATGGAGTTTACTGTCTTAGCTTTTCTTGTTTCTTCACAATCAGCTCATATCTGGACATTATTCTAAAAATAAACAACTTTAAGACCTCCCTCCTGCCTGTCTGCATACATTGGTGCCTGGCTTGTTTCTCAGTGTGTTATTCTTCATATGTTTCTAATGTGCTACAGCTGGAGATGTCGAAGCAAGACGACAGAGGAAGCGAGGAGAGCGCTAATCAAAGCAGCGTAAGTGGGGAAAAATGCTCAGTCCTCCACATAGTTTTGTCCTCATTCTCCCTTTCTTCTTCTTGTTTTCCTTCTCCTCCTCCTCCCGATTTCCCCCTCTCTCCTCTTCCAATGACATGACAGATCATCACTGCAACTGCATGTGTCATTTAATAAATCACACAGACACAAGTGGGCTAGGAAATAAAGGAGTCATAAAGTCAAAACGGCTTGCACATGTGCGTATGTCTACACACCCACACACCAAGACACACTCACAGGGTGTTATGGATGGATAAAAAAGGCCACCAGAGATCCCACACTAGAAGTGGAAATGGTACGCACCGTACTATGTAGAACAACAAACACAGACAAAATCTCTTCTGTTATGCTGCCTCTTCTCTGCCACCTGTCAGAGATCTGAAACGAGCAGCTTGATCGTTCGCCTTCCAAGTCTCTTCCCCTCTCCCTCTATTTGTTCTTTTCAAACTCGTCTCCTCTGTCCTGTCATTGTGTATGTGCGAGACACGCTTCCCTCTATTAGAAATATAGCTGCTGGCTGAATATCCTCCCTCGCCTCATTATCCCCTTCCTCATTCATTATCCCCGTTTTCATTGTCTCTCTGGATTGACATGTTGGTGGTGAAACTTTCTGGTGTGCTCGTCGCACTTATTTGTGCATGATTGTCTTTTTATTGTGTCCCATGCATCAGCCTAAATTTGAATTTGTTTACATTACGCCAGATAACTCAGTCAAACAGTGCCAGTGGCTGTCTGCAGACTGATTCATGCTAACCGTGTGTGTGTTTTGTGCACGTGTAGGAAGCCACAGCGTCGACGGTGGTGTCCTGCAGTCAGGAGAAAGAAGGTCCCACAGAGAGGAATCCACCAAGTCCTGTCCACTCCGAGAGGGAAGCTCTGCTAGTTGGTACGCTGACACTCTGGCTTTTTCCCAGCACTCTCACTGAGACATTTCTTAACCCATGAACTGCTCAGTGGCAGGCCCGGGCCCTTCTGTGTGGAGTTTGCATCCTCTCCTCACGCTTCCTCCGGGAGCTCTGGTTTCTCACCAAAACATGCTAAGTAAATTGTCTTTTCACTGTGCCCTTTACCAGGACACAAGCTTACAGCTACATTTGATCGCTGGCTCCTGGTTACATTCAAATGCCCCTTTCTCCAGAAATGTGTGTTTCTTATATGCAGAGTTTATTATTATAACACACACCTTACTCGAGCTGCCCTCAGCATTCATGGCCCTGCAGCTGCACACAAAGTGTCAGAGTGCCTTGAAGGCAGAAAGTAGGAAGATTTGGATAAAGATTCAGAAACACCAAACATGGGAAGTCTGGATGCTGCACCAACCGCTGCATTTATGGCTTATGGGGGGGAAAAAAGGATGACGACTTCCTTGCAACAAGTAAAAATCAAGGGTTGCGTTGTTTTTCATTTTTGCAAATAGTTGCCGTGACCAGCTGCTTTCGACTGCTTAAGATTGAAATGCGATAGCACAGGTTGCCTGGTGGGAGGCAACATGTCTCCAAACAGTTGCACTCTTCCTTAGACTGACTGCAGTCGCACTCAGACAGATTGGCTGAGGCTGGCAAATAATGATCAACTATGAGATTTAACTCTGGTTGCATTCTGGTTATAATCTTATTGAAAGACCAGGTTCCACAGTGGCTGTCACTGTGCAGGTAAATCACCACCCTGCAGATACTTTTTAACTCTTTGTGAAGGAATCTCTGAATTCCATTTTTTAATCTATGAGTTTGGCAACAATATTGCAAGTTTGTGTCTCGGTCTCCAACCACTGTTTTCATTAGTGTGACTGTAGCTTCAAAGCTTCCTTTCTATAGAGCGATCACCTGTTTTTGGATTTGCCTCATGGAACATTTTACAGAAACTTTTAATCAAGTTCAAGTGTTGTTTATATTTATTGGCTTGTTTCTTCAGGTGCTTGATAGTTGTGTCAGCTTTCAGACGTAATAGTTATACAATTCTTAGAAAGAAATGTGGTGTAAAATAAGAGGAATGGCAGCAGTGTCTGTTCCTTTCTGGAAGTGAAAATCACCATTTGTCATCTTTTATGGTCTCATCAATGTAATGATCATGAGCTCTGACTCTAGCACATTCTGGTAATCTACACACAGACGCAGAGAGTGGGTGCATATTGCTCCAGCAAACGTCTGCTGTCAGTTGGAGAAGGTGTTTATTGGCTGATTTTTAAGGTGAATAAGCATGGACAGCAAAACGATTGTAGTGGGCGAATTGTTGCAAATAAATCATCGTGAATTTTAACTCGGTGTGCTATCTAAATGCACCATTAGATTCTCAGTCGGTCTCTTAATCATTGTCAGTGGAGCAGCTCCAGACGAGCACGCTGTTTGTGTTCAAGTATCGATTGACCTCCTGCAGGTGACAAAAATGAAGTCTTGGCATACTGTTTTCCTCTAAAAAGACTCTAATGCTTATCATATTTTTGCTTCGGTGTTTGACCCAGCAGAAATCATGGTTGCTTTCACTTTGTTTTGTTATTGTTGTTTGTTTTTTACTTGTTTTTGCTTCTTTTTTTCAAATCAGGGTACCTCAATGCTGCATAGGTGATTTGTAAACAGAGGTGGAGGATTACCTTTCTCCTGGCCCTGTCTGTGAGCTGATAGCAGATGGTATGTTTGAGCTAGGGGAGAGTTGGGCTTTGATGAGACAACGGCATCAAAGCCACCATTAAACACTCTCTCTAATCTGGAGCCACAATGTACAAGAGGCTCTTAACAGTAGTGGGACTCTGGGAGACGCCACTCGAAGCTCAGTCAGAGGACAGGAGAAAGAGTCAGATAAAGCGGCGTTGTGAACATACTGGTGTAGTTCATCGACGTTTTATGGGTGACAGGAGGTTTGTGACATGGCTCTGTGTTAACATCTTCCCACGATTTGTTTGTTCTACCTCAGGGATCATTTCAACGTTCCTGCACGTCCACCCGTTTGGAGCCAGCATCGAGTACATCTGTTCATACCTGCAGCGTTTGGACACCAAGGTAACAGACTCGCACGAATCAAAACTTCTTCTACTGTGGATTGTATGCACCTGTACTGGCAGCGTGTCTCTTTCCTGTATAGGACTGATGTATGGGCTTGTATGCCAAGGCCCTGCTGTGCCATCAACACAAGCTGTATTGCTTTTAGAGCCCTTTGACAATACAAATATTTGTTTTCTCCCCAAGAGATAGGTGAGAGGAAGGATAACATGTGTCTGTCCAAACAGATTTACACAGCGCTGTGTTTTAGCCCCCTTTGGTATTTAGCAACATTTCTTTTGTCTTTGACTTGAACTGGGATAAACCGAGAGCTTGCTGTTTTAACATATGTTTTTTTTTCATTAGCCATGTAAACGCTTCCCTGTAAGTTCAAATGTGTACATTTTGATGTCGTAAGACACCTGGGTCATGTGAGTGGCTTCCTATATACGCTGGGTCATTTAAAGGTTTGGTGGTGTTTTCCAGCAGTGCCAACATGTGCACACCAACACATCTAACAACTAACTTCCACACTGCTCATTCTTCTTTGCCTTCTAAATGCGTACAGCTTGGTATTTATTATTATTATAATGTTTTGTTAAATATAGAAAAATGTTGTGAGCTAACTGTGGGTTTTGGAAAGGTCTCTTGGAAAAGAGACACTCCACTTTTACTGAGACAAATACATAACCAGTCACAGTAAACGTCAGACTGGGGACTGTGAAGGCCACTTGAGTACAATGAACTCATTGACATGTTCAGGACACCAATGCATGAGTTCGTTGAGCTTAGTTTGTTTGAGCTTTGTGAGATCAGAAAAATGACTGGATATGCTTTAAGTTGCTGCCGTGCAATTGGCTGATTTAATATTTGCCTTAAAAAGCAGTTGAAGGAGTGTACCTAATAATGTGGTGAAAATGGTTTTCAAGCAAGTTTTTAACTTTGACAATTTCACTTTTCTGTATGTGGACTTCAAACATGTCTTCTCATATCTGACTTTTCCTGATGCGGGAACGTATTAAAAGTAGATCCTTCTTCATGTCACTTGAAGCCAGACACCGCCCAATCCTCACACATCCTCAGCTTCCACTCTGTCCGCTGAGGCTATTCCATCCCCATCTTTCCGACGAGGCGTTTTAGACACATTATCGCTCTTCACTGCCACTTATATGAGGCTTTCAAGATGCCAACTTTCAGTGTCACCTCCAAAAAAGCAACACTAAGATTAATGGCCACTTCTCCTCTCCGCCCCAACAAGAAGACCTTCAGGGGGAAAAAATGGCAGCCTATCCCTTTATATTCCCAGCGCTGAGCAAACATTAAACCCTTTTCTGACGACTTATCATTTAGTAGAATTAATTGGCAAAAATGCGGATGTCTCAAGCGCATCGACGTGGCTGCCCCGAGAAATGCGTGTTCTCTGTAGCAACTCTTTAAATATGCTCATCACCAGCCTGACTCATTCTCACACATGCAAAGAGTGTGACGGACTTCTCTGATGCCTTTTGGGGATTTTTTTGTCTTGAGTGTGTTTTAATGTGAGCGGACGCCCACGCTTGTCTGTCTGTGTGCGTCTGAGTTTGCCTGTACATCTGTTGTTCCCACACAGACTCTTCGCTACACACATTAAGCAGCCCACAGAGTTTTGTCAATATCACTGGCTGGACTCACCAACAACGAGTCCAATCCTCTCTCCTTATCTGGTCGCTCCACACACACAATCACGCATGGCTTCATTGTGTGTAATGACACTCTAGTCCTATCTCCACGATGGCTCTTAATGCGTCCTGACATGAGTGCAGCTCTTAAACAATCTACTTATTAATTCAAGTCACTGTGGGATGTTTACAGCAGCTTGGACAGTGAATCTTGGCAGCGTCACCTCAGGATTTAGGCTGACTGATCCTCAGCCCACCCATGTGACTGAACGTGTAGAGGAGGTGTAAGAGAATAAAGCCTGAATGTTATGAACAACTCACTGGGTGACCCAACAAGGGCTGGTGAGCATTTTTCTCCCAAAGTGGTTTCCTGCCTTAAAAGATGTTTCCACTGAAAACAAAGTGAATTGAAAAGCATGAGTACACTTTCTCACTAATGGGTATGACTAAAATGTTTGCAAAGTTATAATTAGGGGCTAAGTATATTTTTCATCTGTGCCGAGTTTGATGTGCAAATATAACTGAAAATTAGCTCAAAGACGACTGACAAGCCTGAAGGTTTGAGCGCTACATTAAGGGGATCCAGAGATTCTGTTAAGCCGTAGAAAGCATGGTTTGGGGTTAACTCGCCCCCTTTTGCAGTCTGCAGACTACACAAAATCAGCCCGATAATCACCAGATCCAGATTAAATTGGGTGTTGGTTGATGTCTGGAACAAAGATGGCCATCACGCATGAAAATTGATCACATTATCTTGCATAATATGTCGTAATGAGTACCGACACTGCATCTGGGACTTCTCGCGGCTCTCCTGACAAAAAGCCTAGAACATTAGAAACTTCTTCAGCGCACTTCTGTGAGATTAAGCAATATGAGCACACAGCTGTTCAGTTTCTTCTACATTAGAAGACAGAGTCCAAAGGCCTCGCACATGTAAAGAAAGACGGTCCCTATAAATGGGGAGCAATGCAGTCTGTCTCACACTCACGGGAAGGTCGAGATTTTATTATTCTAGCATGCGTAATTTGACGCGCTGCCCATCGTAACAGATGAAAATAGCTGCTCTGAATGATTTATCCTTCATCCTATAATGAAACTTTTCCATTAGGGTCGAAACATTTCTAGGATGACAATGTCTCCATCCGCAGGATACCATGAGTCACTGAATAGTTTGAGTAGGAAAGGGATATGAATCACATGCTACGCTGTGCAACCACCAGATTTAAGCCCAGGTGATTAAGAAAGATTCTGTGGCCAGCGTCTCCCACATTATAACTAAAATACCAGGAGAGCCTTGAGTACATTTTGGAAGCTTGCAGAATCAGTACCAGGATTGATTAAAGATGTTCTTACGGCATATGGACGCCCGTCAACTTACCAGCTTGCAATTTGGTACAAATCTGTAAAATAGTAAGTTAGAGTATTGCAAAAGGTTTGGTAGTTAGAAGGGGTTTAAAAAAACCCTTTTTGTTGGTTAATAAGTCAAGCATTGAGTTCTTCAGCTAATGAGTCTGTACGGCAGTGACAGGAGACGGCAAAGCTGCGTTTGAGTTGCACAAAGGTTCCCACTCCCGCAAAGTTTTCAAAGGTAGCAAAAATCTTAAACTCCTCTAAGTGAGTGAAGGACGGTAAAGACGCGGCTAATGTGATAGATTATCTCCACCAGCACGACTCTGGACTAGCTGTAGTTTCTTAATGTTTTTCCTGTAAAACCTGAAAAAAAGCACATCACTATAATTAAGTCTGGAGGAGATAAAGGCCTGAATGACCTTCCTCAGGTCTGCTAACAAGAGCAATGAACCGATCATAGTCACGTGTCCCAGCTGATTCAAACACAGTTGCTTACTTCAGTGCCATGAGCAGACTTTGACAGTTTTAAATTAAAACATTTTTTAAATGATTTTAAATCAAAAAATAAATCAAGGGGTTTTAATTTTAGTGATAAGCTGTCCATCAAGACATGATATAATTAATAGTTCCACTGCTTAACTCCAACATCTGGCTTCTAATAACTGTGTAAGTGTTTTATCTCATGTGAGGAAAGTCAAAACAGAATTCTGAGAGCCGAGTGAAGTCACAAGAGGTTAGTGGGACAGCAGATGGATGTGACCTGTGGTCTGATGCTGGTTCTCCAGAGGTTTCACTACTTTCAAGTGTGATTTGTGCAAGATCTGTTTCAGGAATACCTTCTTTTTTTTAAATTAATGTGATTGTGTGGTGCACAGGTGCAGATGGATATGTCTTAGACAATGTGGGCTTATAATCTGTACCTGTGTTTGCAGATCAACCCCACTGAGGTGGAGTCTCTTCTCTCTCGGCTGCCCTGCACCTTCAGACAGGAGCTAACTGGTGTCGGAGCCAGTCTAGAGAAACGCTGGAACTTCTGCGGCTTTCAGGGCATCAAGAGCACGTAGAGACGGCCGGTGGCACTTGTGGAGGAGAAAACAGGCGGACAAGGCAACACTGAGATACTGTAGACATGTGAAAGAAACCATGTAAAGTCCACAGCTATCAAAGACCGGACTGTACGAGGACACAGCAGACTGAGCACAGATCAGAGAGGAAAGTTAACAGCATTTCAGGGACTCTGTGTGGGTGGCAGAGACGTGCAAATGCTGCATTTCTATGGCTACAGTAGTGTTGACACCAAGCCCTGGTGATGCAGTCTTCATGAGCTTGAACTCAGTTTCTCGATGTCGGCTAAATATTTTTAGACGCGATGACTCCCCGCGAGTCGCAGAACAGCACCAATTCCTACAGTCACTGGATTATTCTGTAGTTTTTTGCCCACAGGGGCAGGGCATTGTGCGGTGTCAGTGTGGGCCCGGTCTACAGGGCTACACTGGGAGGTAATCAGGGTACGCCTGAACACTTCAATCCTCCAAACCCTTTGGCCTCCCTCTCTTCTCTTTTTTGCTGTTCCTGGTTTGTAACATAGATCAAAAAATAGATATATTTCTTCATTTTCTGTAAAGGCGGTTAACAGTTGCATAGAATCATTTGTTGTAATACACTGTAAATGCTTGGATGATATTTTTGATTATAAAAAAGATGTTTGAGTATACATAAATGAGTCTGTTTATTTTTTATATATATGTTTTATATGTGTCAATGAAGGTTAGCAGGGTTAGGGTTGTACATATTTCAAGTATTATTTTGAGTCAAGGAGTATAATAAGGAATTACCAATTCTCTATGCCATTACAGATATGTAGAAAAGCATAAAAATGTGTTTTTAAATACCTAAACCTTTCTGATTTCTCACTGTTTACTCACAGATCTCAAGACAGGATCAGTTTAGGTTGCAGATTAGGAACTTCTACATGCAAAGTATGATATGAAACGATTCCTGAACATGTTATAT